AGATCCTCGCATCACTGAATATACTTTTCTATATCTACTGACGTTTCGACAGTGCTTTTTAGAGAATTTTTCTATAGTAGCTACATCTAGCATAAGAAGAGTTGAAAATGGCTTTGTGTCCGGTGGTAGACCTAGTTCCAAAATTTTAGAAAGATCTACGGGAACCAATATCACAATCAGCCCAACAATGTTGTATAGAATAAGGGATATTACTGGGCCTCCAAACATTGGAAGGAACAAATCCCTGCTTTCTGTGAATCCACCGAGAAGTGACATGAAACCGCATCATCCATGGTATTTTATGCTTGACAATCTCCTTGATGAGGTCTTGTCCAAGTCCATGATATACAAGGAGAAATACGTACACAATGATTGGAGTTAGCACTACAAACATTGTTCTTCTAATTCTTGAGACAAGGAGCGGATGTCTATCACCAAGACCGAATAATCCAAACAATAATTTGGAAATGGATATCGGTCCCCTTTGTTTTAGAAACAGAAAATCTGTATCTTTAGTTTCTAGACTTAACAGTTGGGTACCTGAATTATCTAACTCTTCTCCAGAATCGATAGCATGTTTTCATATCTTTACAACAACAAGAGGGAAATACGCCATGGCAATTATTCCAATGTAGTATGGCAGGAGTTGATAAATATTCCAGATATTTTCGTTTCTTATGTCACAAATCGCTTACCTTTTCTCTATGAAACTACGACAACATTTATAACCAAACAACTGAAGCGGAACACCTAGGTATTGGTTAAGCATATACCACGTGGAGTCTCTAAACTTTGAGTTTGTTGTTATATAACACCAACAACTGTACTCATAAAGTGCATTGAGTTTGAAAAGGTAATATTCTGACATGTTATACAGAGCATTGCTTAGTTAACGAATAGTGTGATTACCACCGAAAAGAATGCTGCAGTTTTCGGGGTCTGTTTGAACATAGAATGTAACTGGATATTTTAGACTGTGCGTGTCGAGTAGACCAAACGAATAAACAAAATAGTCTACAGGCCATGAAATGTAAAATTTTCCTCCTCCAGGAGGTACAAATGTCCACATCCATCTGTCTGGAAACAGGACCTCGTCAGTCGCGTTAAACGTTTTGTCGTAAAATTTGAATTTTATATGTGCCAGCATTCCCTGTATTATGTCACTAGCACACTATGTAACGAAAACATCTTGACGACTATCTTAACATGTGGTATTTAGACTAGTGGCCTATCAAAGTAATCAAGTCTTCAATACCGTTAGTATAAAGAACCTACTTCAATTAGTCTATACAAAAACACATGCCAACAATAACAACTTGCTAGCTTTAAATGTGTTTTATGAATTTATTTCAATCGTTCATCATCATTTTTTTCGTCTGTTGAAACGTTTAATATTTTTCATAAACACCGTGTTGTTTTTATAAATTAAGGGACGTAACACCACTACTAACCGTGTATTGAAATAAGCCCCGACTACTAACCCAATATAGAATATACACGGTCTTCACGCGGTTGCTTTTAACCAATCATAGTCCTAGATATGTATAGGAGGTAAGATAAATGTATATACCAAACGCGTCTTAATGGGCATTAGCTGTCAAATTTATATTAACCGATTTGACTTAAATTCTCATTGTTGATTCATTACAAGTGGTAAACAAGAAACAATCAAAAATGCATGGACTCTTTATAATGTATCAGCGTTCCTTCAGGCTTGTGAATTTTAAACTAGACGCAATCTATAGGTAACCATCAAGATGACCTTTGAAGAATGCCGATTTTCTATGACCTGATATAAACATAAATATCAATACACAGACAAGCACGTGCAATCAAATCTAAATAATGCTAATTTTCCTGTGGATCTTTTAGCTTTCATGTCATGATTAAAACAAAAATGTAAATTATCGTTTTTACCTGTATAACAATAATTTTACATTAGTAAACGAATTGGTTCTTCTAGGTTGCTCCCTTCTTTCTTTTTCAATCAGACATTCTTTTCTTTTTATAACTGAACATGTTTAGAAAATGCGTAACCCATCTCCAGCTAAGGGTCTAATTGAAGATCGCATGGTTATTGAGGATTCAAATGACTCAATCAGAGGTTGAATAATTGACTTGCAAGCCAATAATACATTAGTTGAACCAAATTGACTGCTTTTATTGAAATATTATTTCAAAATTCCAGTTCTATATATGTTTTAGAAAAAAACAAAATCATATTTTAATGTGTTGTTTAAATCGTAGTATTAAAGTTAGTTTACAAAAACAAATAAGACTTCAAGGTGTGATCAAAATTAATAAATCGAAAATAAAAATGGAGTTTGATATGTTTCCAAATACGAAAAAACATGTTAGTTACTACTAGCCGAACCAAGAGTATACTGTTCACCAATTGTCCGTCGATTGAATAATGAGTTTTGGGGTTATCATTTTCGTCGCTGGGTTGCTGTTTCATTGGCGTAACTCGTACATCTCCTTTTCTGTATTCATTCTTAATAATCAATTGCAAACTGAAAAATAACTTCTACGTTTGAATTTTACAATCTTAATCTCCCGCAGGACAATATAAAAAGAGAAAGAGAAGATACCAGAGTCAACAAAACCCCCCTTTTTTTGACGATCAATGCTTTTGAATGGGGACATATGGAGGGAACCCCCCCCCCCCTTTATCCTTGGTTCGAACCCACTTTTAAAAATGGCTGGATCCGCCCCTGAGAACAATACGTACGCCATCAAAAACCGGGGTGAACGCAGGTGCTCCACAAGGGAAAGATGATCCTGGCATCCGTCGTGTTACTTGTTGTAAGTAAAAGTAGGAAACCGTAAAAGTGCAGTGAAAAGTCCCATTCGGTAATGTCAAAATCGAGGAAAATAGAACAGGGTGTGGCTAGGAAAAAACTATACCAATCGGAACATAGAACATATATATCCGTGATCATCTATGGCATAGATATTGCATAACGTTTAACCAAATATTTATGGCGTTAATAATTTTTTAGAAGGGATTTACTTCAACTTGACCTTTTGGAACCCTTGGAGCAATAGCTTCCTCAAAATTAAGCAGTAATCCTCTGTAAAAAATCATGAACGCAAGTCCGGGGATATCTTATCAACTGGGAGATGTTTACTCCATGATGGCATCTGTTGGCGCTTATGGAATGTTGCTACACAGAATGGACATGACCACTGGTTTATGAACTTGAGATTTCTTAGAGTAAGAGAAGAGTCAATTACCAACCCCCAAATGGAAAAAGTTGAAATCTTCTGTCTTGTCTTAAAATTTAGTTCTCTACCGATCCTCTTTTTTATTTATAGATATAAGTCAAGATAGGAAGCAGACGTAACTGTATCTGTAGCTGTGGTATCCTTTATTTCGTGTCAATTGTGATAGAGTTTACCAGTAAAACATCCCTGAACTCGAAAAATAAAACGATCGACCAGGAATACAACACTGCCTCGGAAAACTAAAGCAAAAGCAACACGAACGAATCCCTTTAAAAGCAAAACTTCTCAGGTGCTTAAAAAGGATAAGCAATTCCTGATGCATTAGTGTTGCTCATTATGTAAGGAAAAATACGGAATAAGTTGCATTTGAAATTGTCACTATCGTAGAATATCAACGTGCTTGCTTTGGGTGTGAGAGGTTGAGTCGATCCTCGCTCAGTGGTTTTAACAAAAAGAATTCAAAACTGACATTTTCTGCTTCTCATCCAATCTATGGCACGACATTTGGGAGTGAGAACAAAGATTAACAGCCGTCGGTTCAGATTTATGATAACGTGCGTCTGAGTATGGTAATGATTGATATCTACCCTTGATAATCTTGAAGTTATCATGTTATTAAAATATGTACTGATCAGTGTGTCAATCTAGTTCAAAGCATTTGCATATACCTGATAACGCATATAACATTTGCAGTGGGCGAAAGGGGTGAACAGGGGGTCCCTGATTTCTCGCACTGCCCTCCCCAGCTCCCATTTCCCTCTGACTAGCTACTCCCAATCCCCCCTTTTCAGTCCAAGACGAAATCGGTCAAAGAAACAGAGAAAATAATATTAATAAGAGCATATAGGCGAACACAACAGTAAGCCTTGAGTAAGTTTGATTTTTAGTAATGATTGATACTAGTAGTAGGTAGCACGGTAGTATTTGCATTCCAGAATTTAGGTTGCTCTTTTGTGTACCTTAGGTCAATGTATCTGAACAGTGTGATTGGACAAAAAATACAGTATCAACTGAACATACTTTCCCAAACCGAGGGATGAATAAGGTGTAGAAAAATATGAAATAATTTTACATACAGGTAAAAATGAATTTTTGAGAATTTTTTTAAATTTTGTATTCATTGCATGATAAAAGACCTAAAAGCACTAGTGGCCTTAGGTTTTTAAAGATATCAAAAAAAGTAAACGGTCATGATACATATTCAAATTCATTTCTGAATAGTATAATGAGAGTACTTCAGTTAACTGTTTAAGTAGAATTTTGGCAGTGTTAGAAAGTGGTGAAAATTCTAAAAAGGCTATCATTATCCCTTATGGGCTAAGAAATACTACCGTGCCCCCAGTAGCCAGACTGAGAGATGAATATTATATATAATATGTCTTGTAGTCATGGTAGTAGCCAAGCCAGTAGGAAAACTCATCTAAAAGTTTGCAAATATATACTGGGACTTAGTTATAAAGCATTTCCTTAATAATAAAATAAATTCAGTTTAATATTTGATTATAATCAGAGACATATATACACCAGGGCTGCCAAGTCTCACGCATTTAGCGCATTTAGCGTGAGACTCACGCATTTTCATGCTTATTTGGCGGCATTTTCCTTTGATCTATTGTTTTTTCTCTTTGATCATTACGATTTTGGCCAAATCTCACGCATTTGCATTATTAAAAGTTGGCAGAACTGTATTCACATATGTGTATATAATGTCTCTGATATAATAAAACAGGACACTGATTGAATGATGTTTATAACGAGTTAGACGATAGAAAGCGGAAAATCAACGTATTCGTCCCTGCTACGCTTGGAGAGGTCAAAATATAGCACATACACTGAACTTCAAACTCCTGTTTTCTCTCTTCCTCTATTTTGTTGTTTATAACTTGGAAATCACAGTAGACGCTAGATGAAGTTGAAAGGAAAAGTAGCATTGATTTCAGGAGGCGCCCGAGGTCTTGGTAGAGCATACGCAGAAGCAATATTAAAGGCTAGCGGAAAGGTAACTTCGTGTATGCAAAATCATTGAGCTGAAATTATTTACAACTGTAAAATTCGAGTTGGAAGAAAGTTGGTATTGAAGAATAAGAATAAACATTTGACTTACTGCAACATCAATAATTCGAGATTAAAGCAATTAAATAACATTCAATTACTTTAGAGTAGAAGGGGTCTAAATTAAAAACGATGTGTAATGCTTTGCCAAAATCATGAATATGAAGTATATAAATGTATACTGATACAGTATGTAGAATAAAATTCTCTAATGGGCTGAGTCCTCCATTCCTATCAGAAAGGGGTGTTAAACAAGGTGACGTATTGATTCCCCTTCTTTTTAACTATTTTATAAATGAACTAGTAGGTAATCTTGATAACAAACATACGGATCCAGTTGCCATTGGGGATACCTCTTTGAACATTCTTTTATATGCAACCGATATTGTTTTACTGTCTGAAAGCAAAGAGGGTCTACAAAAATCTCTTGATATTTTACATGAATATTGTTCATCATGGAAACTACAAGTTAATACTGATAAATCAAAAATTATGATATTTAATTTAAATGCAAGACATTGTTAAACCATTTTACCTATGATAATGCATATCTTGAAACGGTTACAAATTATTGTTACTTGGGTATTGTTTTAAAGTATAATGGCAATTTTTGCCTTGCTGTGAATACTCTAATGGAAAAAGCCAGGACGGCATACTATAAGATAAAGAAAACTATAGGTCTCAACAACCTGTGTAGACTTCTTGAAAAATTGTTTGATTGTTTAGTTACTCCCATTCTTACATATTGTAGTGAAATTTGGGGGGTGGATTCACATTTTAAAGACTCTGATCCCTTTGAAAAACTTCATGTTAAATTTATCAAAGATATATTAGGGGTTCACTGTAAGGCATCTAATGATGGATGTCGAGCCGAACTTAATAGAATTCCCTTGAAAAATAAAATATTATATTGAATATTCAACTACATGTACCTGAACCATATAGTTTCTTTGGAAAATTCTTTGGCATATGATATATTCACTAAATCTGTAGATTCAAACCCTTGGGTCATAAAGGTCAAGAGTCTTTTGAATGGACTTGGAATGTCTTATATCATCAATAACTTTAATTATGTTAAAGGTAATTTAAATTCCATTAAACAAAGAATTAATGACCAATGTTTGCAAGTTCAAAATGCAAATATATTTGAATCAAAAAAGTTAGACTTTTTCAAGAGTGTCTACATAATGGGCAGAAGACCACCCTATGTTGATATATTGAAAAACAGAAGTGACAGAGCTGCAATATGTAAGATCTGTATAAGCGCTCATATACTGATGATTGAAAGAGGGAGACATCTAAATATTCCCAGAAATGAAAGATACTGCTCTGGAATCCATGACAAATCGCCCCACTGGCAAATCGCCCCACACCTAATCGCCCCACTTTTTCACCAACTCGCCCCACTTCCAAAAAAATCGCCCCACTCTTGTTTACCAACTCGCCCCACTTATGAAAAGGGTAAAATCCCATTGAAAATAGGTTGGATAACATGCCCCACTCATGAAAAGGGTTAAAATCCCGCTGAAATAAGGTCTGCCAACTCACCCCACTCATGACAAATAGATAAACCACGATGAATTTAGTAATGCCAACTCGCCCCACTTATGGAACAAGCTGCTATCCCGTTGTATATGTTACTGCCACTTATAAATAAAATCAATACCTATGAAAACCTTAGATAAACATCTTTTGTAATTCTTTTCTTTTTGTTTTTCTTTTCTTTTTGTTTAAATAAAGCAGTAAGAAGTGAGTACCAGTATTTCGGTGACGTGAATGTCAACTCGCCCCACTTGTGAAAAATAGAAAAATCCTGATGAATTGAGTTATCCCAACTCGCCCCACTTATGAAAAATAGGAAAATCCTAATATTGAGTCATGCCAACTCTTTACACTTATGAAAAAGGAAGTAATACCGTTGAATTTATGTCTGCCAACGTACCCAACTGATAAATAAAAGTATGAATAGAATTAATGGCTACCAACTAGCCCCACTTATGAATAAAATGATTAAACTGTAAGGAGTGTAGGCCTTCCAATTCTGCCCACTTATGAGAACGTTAGAAATGCATCTTTTTTTTTTGGTTCTTTTCTTTTGGTTGAAATAAAACAGAATACATAATTATGCATAACAATAACATTTAAAACAAACATACATTAAATCAGTTATGACAAGCACTGGCATGATAACATAAAAAGAAGTACTAGATGAAATGTCAGCACTAGAAACAAGAACATGAATACATTGTCATTAGAAAGTTCAGTAGCTGTCTGCTTCCACGACTAGACCGTTGACACGACCACACTGGCGTAAGAGTCTGGTTGTAGATATGCTGCCTGCAATATACTGCTCCCACATGTTGAATAGGATGGCTTGGGGTTTACCTTTACGTTGTACGTGTAACCGTGGCTGTCCACAAGCTTACGCTTGCCCTGCTGTGTACCAGACTCAACTGTTGTGTAGGTGATGGTATCTGGAGCAATCTCAACGTTGTTGATGGAATCGTCTAAGATCGAGCTGTAAAAAAATCGATTATATAAATAACTTACATTTTTCAATTATGTCATTACTTTAAGCAAGTAATACTGAACAGCACAATTACATGTAATATACGAATACATCCGAGTAGAAGACAACCTCAAGTTACTCTCATAAAAACTTTATTAAATCTAATTGGTAGTCAAATACTTCTTATTTTTACATTTTATGATATTACAATTTTATAATAAATACACGAAAAGAAATATTAAATATACATATAATGAATTAACCTAGAAAATACAATGCTTACACTTCAAGTTGAACAGTTGGCACTTCAAAGGAAGCACTGATGTTGAAGGACAGCTCTGGCTCTTGAAACACCTCTGGGTCATCTGGCTGTTGGTCTGAATCTGTTTGGTCTTGATGAACGGACTGGTCTGCAAGGTCTGTCTGCAGTAAAGACTGATCATCTGGGTTGGGTGCTTCACAAGGCGTACATCGCCAGCTTATAGACATAAATTTCTCATTTTTGTTTGTTTTCAAAGCATAAACAAAACTTACCAATCAATTTTTCAACAACAACAAAACCTGCTTATAGGGGGAGGGTTGAGATCTCAAAAAACATGTTTAACCCCGCCGCATTTTTGCGCCTGTCCCAAGTCAGGAGCCTCTGGCCTTTGTTAGTCTTGTATCATTTTTAATTTTAGTTTCCTGTGTATAATTTGTAGTTTAGTATGACGTCCATTATCACTGAACTAGTATACATATTTGTTTAGGGGCCAGCTGAAGGACGCCTCCGGGTGCGGGAGTTTCTCGCTGCATTGAAGACCCATTGGTGGCCTTCGGCTGTTGTCTGCTCTATGGTCGGGTCGTTGTCTCTTTGACACATTCCCCATTTCCATTCTCAATTTTATTTTACTACTTTTACTAACAAAAACACGACACACGCTTATTGTAAATGAAAGAATGGGCATTCTCTTTGATATTTACTTGAAAGTTACATTTGCCTTTCACTGATTGCTCATTAGTGTTTAATTATTCTTAATTCAAAGACAAAAGTAACCAATCCAGTAAGTGCTATGATAACAAATTGCTGTTAATTGAAATCCTTCAATTGTTATGATATATCGCATTATGATACAATTAACAGGTTTCTTTTCAATTGTTATGCAAATAACTATAAGCTTACAAGAATAAAGTTATTCTGCAATAATACGAAAATTATATTTAGAATTATAATTTCAGAAAGTGAAACATCATTTAATTTCAATAATAATAATTAAATAAATTTTCGTTTTTTTGTATTCTGTGTAGATTAGTTTTCATTTAAGTGGAGCGAGTTGGCAGACATGAAAATTATATATTCATCTAGATATTACCGTTTTTCATTAAGTGGGGCGAGTTGGCAGGAGTAATATTAACGGGATTTAACCCTTTTCAAAAGTGGGGCGATTTTTTAAAAAGTGGGGCGAGTTGGTAAACCAGTTGGGGCGATTTTTTTAAAAGTGGGGCGAGTTGGTGGAAAAGTGGGGCGATTAGGTGTGGGGCGATTTGCCAGTGGGGCGATTTGTCCTGCTTCCCTGCTCTGTATGTAATTCTGGTCAAATTGAAAATGAAAAACATTTTCTTTTACATTGTGAAAAAAACTCAACTAAAAGGGCCATATTTTACCAAAAAGTTTCGAATATAATCGTTGATCCTACAAAATTTCAAAAAAATGAAAATAATGTAATCTTTTTATTAAATAATAATTCATACACAATCCTAAAATTGACTTCCTCTTTCATTTCAGACAGTCTGAATCTGGGTAAAGCAAAACAAACTCTATAAAATTGTCAATATGTCTAATTCATAATCATTGTTTATAATATTACATATTAATATTATAGTCATTATTTGCAATACTTATTATGTATGATCAACTATGTAATTAATATACCATGAGCCTTAACCATTTATTGTTGATGAGTTTGTGCTAATAAAAATTTGTATTTGTATTTGTATAAATATGATATTTTCAAAATATAATAACAGAGAAATATAATACAATCTCTGATAATAACATCTATCAAGGTGAGTGCAAAATTGTCATCCTGGTACTCGGTCAAGTAAGAGCAACCAAAATAAGTAAAATCAAGCATATAATCGGTGTAATTTGAGGGGAAAGTTTACTGTTTTCCGATGATTTTGTCGTGTAAAGAAAATAAGTGCTAAATATTCTTTAGTTACATTATTTTAAACATTTTTAAATAGCTCATTACATTATAATAATCTACAATGCAAGTGTGCTCTACATTAGTATTAGAACTATATATATGTATGAAAAAATATTTTTGTCAGCTTTCTGGCATGCCACTAGTATTAATGTATGAGTTTTTTAAAAAAAAGATGTGATTTCAAGAATTAATAAAATAATGTTATGCAATCTCATATGAGCATGTATATAAATTATTATGAGTTAATCTTATGAATTTTCCATCATTATAATTTTTAAAGAGAATTAATGTAATGTGTATTGTTTTCATTGTGTGCAACCCCCTCCTCACCTGTCTCTTCAGGTAGGTTCATGTGATGCCTTACATTTGATTAACCACCTGTAATGTTTATTTGTTATGTTATTTGATAAAACACTTGTTGTTTCAGTATGATAATGTGACATATATTACTTATTTAAACACATGCATTTTTCAGGTATGTTTATGTGATATAGATTCAGAAGAAGGATTAAAAACTCTGAAAAGATTTCAGACAACATTTGGTAATGACAATGTAATGTTTGTAAAATGTGATGTAACAGATCATGATAGTTTTGAAAGTAAGTTTGCTTCTTTTTCTATTTTAATTATTTATGTATGTATTTTTTTTTTAGGGCGGAGGGTATGTGTATTAATAATCTTAACCAATTAAAAATAGGGGGAAATAAATTTGAGAATGGAAACGGGGAATGTGTCAAAGAGACAACAACCCAACCAAAGAGTAGAAAACAGCTCAAGGCAACCAATAGGTCTTCAACACAGTGAGAAAATCCTACATCCAGAGGCGGGCTTCAGCTGGCCCCTCAACTAAAATGTATACTAGTTCAGCGAAAATGGAAAGGACACTTGCTCCCTTTTGTATTTAATCTTTAAATCAACTTATTTGGATGTTTGTCTGCTAGAAATGTAATACTGTATTTAAAGAAAAACTTTATGGAACTTTTGATAAGAATTTTATGTGTAAGTCTCATACACACCACACGCAGTTCAGAATCTTATGTGTTAGTCTCATACACACCACACAGTTAAGAATCTTATGTGTTAGTCTCATACACACCACACAGTTCAGAATCTTATGTGTAACTGTAAGTCTCATAAACACCAGTCAGTTCAGAATCTTATGTGTTAGTCTCATACACAACACACAGTTCAGAATCTTATGTGTTAGTCTCATACACACCACGAAGTTCAGAATCTTATGAGTAAGTTTCATACACACCAGTCACTTCAGAATCTTATGGGTTATAGTCTCATACACACCAGTCACTTCAGAATCTTATGGGTTATAGTCTCATACACACCAGTCACTTCAGAATCTTATGGGTTAGTCTCATATACACCAGTCAGTTCAGAATCTTATGGGTTAGTTTCATTCACACCAGTCAGTTCAAAATCTTATGGGTTAGTCTCATACACACCACTCAGTTCAGAACCTTATGTGTTAGTCTAATACACTCCAGTCAGTTCAGAATCTTTTGGGTTAGTTTCATTCACACCAGTCAGTTCAGAATCTTGTGTGTTAGTCTCATACACACCAGTCATTTCCGAATCTTATGGGTTAGCCTCATACATACCACTTAGTTCAGAATCTTATGTGTTAGTCTAATACACACCAGTCAGTTCAGAATCTTATGGGTTAGTCTCATACACACCACTCAGTTCAGAATCTTATGTGTTAGTCTAATACACACCGGTCAGTTCAGAATCTTATGTGTTAGTCTCATACACACCACACAGTTCAGAATCTTATGAGTAAGTCTCATACACACCAGTCAGTTCAGAATCTTTTGTGTTAGTCTCATACACACCAGTCAGTTCAGAATCTTATGAGTTATTCTAATACACACCAGTCAGTTCAGAATCTTATGAGTAAGTCTCATAAACACCAGTCAGTTCAGAATCTTATGTATTAGTCTCATACACACCACACAGTTCAGAATCTTATGTGTTAGTCTCATACACACCACACAGTTCAGAATCTTATGAGTAAGTCTCATACACACCAGTCAGTTCAGAATCTTATGTATTAGTCTCATACACACCACACAGTTCAGAATCTTATGTGTTATTCTCATACACACCAGTCAGTTCAGAATCTTATGAGTTAGTCTCATACACACCAGTCAATTCAGAATCTAATGAGTAAGTCTCATACACACCATTCAGTTCAGAATCTTATGAGTTACTCTAATACACACCAGTCAGTTCAGAATCTTATGAGTAAGTCTCATACACACTAGTCAGTTCAAAATCTTATGTATTAGTCTCATACACACCAGTCAGTACAGAATTTTATGTGTTAGTGCCATACACACTAGTCAGTTCAGAATCTTATGTGTAGTTTCATTGTTCATACACAAAATGGAATTGTTTAAATATCAATTGTTTAAGACAGAATCAGCCAATCACAATATTTTGATGTACACTTTTAAAAATACAGTTTTTTTTTAGCTCACTTTGCCTTAAAGGCAATGCAAGCTTTTGCTATCACTAATCACTTGGCGTCCATTGTCGTCCTTCATTCTGAACTTTAAAAAAAAGTCTTCTCCTCTGAAAGTACTTGGCCAAATATTACCATACTTGACATGGATGTTCCTTAGGTCTTCTTCTTTAAAATTGTATGTGGGAATTTGAACCACCATCAAACATGGCATCTGTGTCTAATAATAGAACAGACAGGGTAAAATGTAGTTTTTATACGACCGCAAAAAAATTTTTGTGGTCGTATATTGGTATGACGTTGGCGTCGTTGTCGTCGTCGTCGTCGTCGTCGTCGTCGTCTGGCGTCGTCCGGCGTCGTCCGAAGACACATTGGTTTTCGCACTCTAACTTTAGTTTAAGTGAATGGATCTCTATGAAATTTTACCACAAGGTTCAATACCACAAAAGGAAGGTTGGGATTGTTTTTGGGGGTTATGGTACCAACAGTAAAGGAATTAGGGGCCAAAAAGGGGCCAAAAATAAGCATTTTTGTAACTTCCAGACATAACTTGTGTGTTAGTGTATGGATCTCTCTGACATTGTACCACAAGGTTCCATATCACAAAAGGAATGCTGGGATTGATTTTGGGGGTAATTGCCTCAAAATTTTAGGAATTAGGGGCCAAAAAAGGGGCAAAAAACAAGCATTTTTCTAGTTTCATAACAATAACTTGTGTGTAAGTGTATGGATCTTTCTGAAATTGTACTACAAGGTTCCATATCACAAAGGGAAAGCTGGAATTGAGTTTGGGGGGTAATTGCCGAAACATTTAGGAATTGGGGGCCAAAAAGGGGCCAAAAATAAGCATTTTTCTAGTTTCCAGACAATAACTTGTGTTCAAGTGTATGGATCTCTCTGAAATTGTACTGCGAGGTACCATACCACAAAGGGAAGGCTGGGATTGATGATGGGGGTAATTGCCTCAATATTTTAGGAATTAGGGGCCAAAAAGGGGCAAAAAACAAGCATTTTTCTAGTTTCAGGACAATAACTTGTGTGTAAGTGTATGGATCTTTCTGAAATTGTACTGCAAGGTACCATTCCACAAAGGGAAGGCTGGGATTGAGTTTGGGGGTGATGAATCATAAGGGGGTTCAAAATATTTGTGGGGGGGGATTTTTTTTTTTTTCATTTTTTTTTTCTTTTAAAATTTTCCATTTTAAGTTGGTTATTTCTGATTTATATTTAAAAGCAAATAATAATGATATGGTAGGAGATACACACCAAACAGGATGTGTAAATTATTATATAATAAGTATTGTGCAATAGCAAGAAATTTTCAATTGCGCAGTATTGCACAATAGCAAGAAATCTTCAATTGCACAGTATTGCGCAATAGCAAGAAATCTTCAATTGCACAGTATTGCGCAATAGCAAGAAATATCCAATAGCACAATATTGCGCAATAGCAAGAAATTGTCAATTGTACAGTATTGCGCAATAGCAAGAAATATTTAATTGCACAGTATTGTGCAAAAGAAGATACTTCGTATAAATTGCTTATTTCTTGACCAATTTCAATGGGGTTTTATTCTTGAATTCTTGGGTTTCTTTAATATGCTGAATCTAACCGTGTATTTAGTTTTTGGATTTTGGGCCCCGTTTTTTTAATTGGTCCAAATTGAGGTCCAAAGGGTCCAAAATTAAACTTTGTTTGATTTCATCAAAAATTGAATTTTTGGGGTTCTTTGATATGCCGAATCTAACCATGTATTTAGATTCTTAATTTTTGGTTCCGTTTTCAAATTGGTCTACATTAAGGTCCAAAGGGTCCAAAATTAAACTTAGTTTGATTTTAACAAAAATTGAATTCTTAGGGTTCTTTGATATGCTGAATCTAAACATGTATTTAGATTTTTGATTATGGGCCCAGTTTTCAAGTTGGTCCAAATCGGGGTCCAAAATTAAACTTTGTTTGATTTCAACAAAAATTGAATATATGGGGTTCTTTGATATGCTGAATCTTACCATGTATTTAGATTTTTGATTTTTGGGCCGCGTTTTCAACTTTGTCCACATTGAGGTCAAAAGGGTCCAAAATTAAACTTTGTTTGATTTCATCAAAAATTGAATTCTTGGGGTTCTTTGATATGCTGAATCTAACCATGTATTTAGATTTTGGATATTGGACCATAATAGGTGAATGTCCAATTTAAAATTTTTAAGTTCTTAGACCACATTCATTCTGTGTCAGAAACCTATGCTGTGTCAAATATTTAATCACAATCCAAATGCAAAGCTGTATCAAGCTTGAATGTTGTGTCCATACTTGCCCCAACTGTTCAGGGTTCGACCTCTGCGGTCGTATCAAGCTGCGCCCTGCGGAGCATTTTATTTGGCTTATATCTCAAAAACTAAAGCAGTAAGAGCAAACCTGACAGGTATAAAACTATCAGCAGGTCAAGGTCTATCACCAGAGGAAATTGAAGGAAAATTGGACAAGCCATTTAAGAGTTATTGCCCCTGAAATGTTAATTTAAAAAAAAATTCCAAGCTTTTGGCCTATATCTACAATGCTAAAGCAATAAGAGCAGATCTGACATGGGTAGAGTTGATCTACAAGTAAGTCAACTCGGAGGATTTATCAATTGACCCCTTATAGGAGTTATTGCCCTTGAACAGATATCTTTTACTCATTGTTTGTGTGTATCGCCGCGATATAGCTTTTTGTGCAGATGCGGTGTAAAGCAATCACCAATCAATCAATCAATCTCATTGTTTGTGGGTTTTGTTTGTGCAGAAACTATAATAGATAGAGAGAAATTGTCAGTAAAAGTGTTCAATAAATAAGATCTACAAATTAATTAAATTGACTTAAATTGTTAATTGACCACTTATAGGAGTTATTGCCTTTGCAAGCTGGTTTAAATTATTAATAGATGACTGATTGCAATGAATGGACAAATATTTATCAAAATGGCATATTGTTTACCAGGTGAGCGATTCAGGCTCTTGTTTGGGATTGTGATTTCATGTTAAGGATCAACACCCTTATATGTTGCTGGCTTGATAGCGATATCTTCAAGGACTCATCTCTACCTTTAAAAGTCAAACAAATAGAACAGTGAGGTGAACATTCTTTAGATTCTATCCAGCCCATGTAATACAACTTATTAATAATGTATAACCATACTTTTCAAGAAATAAATTATACTAATAATAATTATATAAATTGTGTATGGTGTTTGAATCTATCTGTACTGAAAAAACTGTACTAAAAAAACAAAAAGTTCAACTACAAATGTAAAATTATGAACAAAGGGAGATAACTCCAATTAAAATATTGCCTTAATGTGTTCAATCGCTAGTTTAATTAAATATTTAATTTTAAGTTCACATTGCAAAATGAAAGCAACCTTTACTCTTACAAAAAAGTACTATAATTTTGCATTCTGTCAGATTGTCAGTTCATACCACTGAAGTTTTTGACATTATAGTTTTGCAGATGTGGATAAGATATATCAAGGAAAAAATTCTTCAGAGGATCTCAGTTATTGAAAATATTTGCATCATAAGATAAATTTTCTGGCCTGATTAATGATAAGATTGAAATACCTGACTACATCCCCAACAACTCTTCCCCAAATTGAATTGACATTTCACTAGATCTAGCTCCTTTACAATCCAATGCAAGTGCCCCATATACGTGTAAACTCATCCAGTGTTCCTATTTTGGCAAATACAATACCTTCAAAATGCTTATACATTTTAGCGGGTTTTTTTCAGATGTATTTAAGCAAGCAAAAAGAAAATTTGGTGTATTAGATATTGTGGTAAATAATGCAGGACTTCTTACAGAAGATAACGTGAGAAAAACAATGATGGTTAATTCAGTAAGTTCAATTTAGTTTCTTATTTAGTCAGAGTCCCTTCTAACATGTTTAGCACCACCAGATTCCCAAGTCAGGAGCCAGTGTAATTTAGTGGTTGTTGTTTGTTACGGTATCATATTTGATTTTAGTTTATTGTTTTGTATATATCAGGTCTTTAGTTTTCTCGTTTGAATTGTAATTTCTGAGCCTTTAATAACTTGCTATTCAGCATGGGTTTTGCTCATTGTTGAAGGCAGTATGACCTATAGTTGCTAACTTCTAAGTCATTTGGTCTCTGGTGGAGAGTTATCTCTTGGTAATCATACCACATCTTCTTATTTGTCTATTGGCTGAGACTGTGAACTTTGAGATTTGACAAACAATATTTGAAAAAAAAAATCCATTGGAGCCTTTATTGGGAGAGAACAGTTACCTGACATTTTATGCAATAATGAATGTTATCTTCAAACAAATACTATCATTTGATCTGTGATTGGATTTAGATAGGGAAATGCTGACATGGAAGATTTACATGCAGGGAAATTATCAGGCATCATGGCTTAATGATGTCCAGAATCTTTGGAACTTAATGGTTATAGCCTTGCCATTATATGCTTGCAAATTTAGTTTAAAAATTACTGTCACTAGCAGTAAAACTGGTTTAAACAAAATTTTTCTTTAAAAAAAGAAAGGATTTTGTGTATACTGTATACTGGTAGATTTATGACATAAAATCACCACACTGTTGAGCATACCATATGCAGAAGTATAGTGCTTTGATTGCTGTTCTTCATCTCAAAGTCACATTGAGGCCTTCACCATGGAACAAAACTCTCACCTCACTGCAAGTTAAATATGGCCCCCTTAAGTGCATCGAAGAACACAGCTGTGTGGTAATATCAACAAGTTATAAATTATATCTGGCAAAAAAATCTAGCAAATACTGTGGGAGGTAGGGGGAAGGTTGAGATCTCACAAAACATGTTTAACCCGGCCATATTTTTGCGCCTGTCCCAAGTCAGGAACCTCTGGCCTTTGTTAGTCTTGTATATTTTTTAATTTTAGTTCATTTATATGTTTTGGAGTTTAGTGTGACGTCCATTTTCACTGAACTAGTACACATTTTTATTTAGGAGCCAGCTGGAGCCCGCCTCCGGGTGTAGGATTTTCTCGCTGTGTTGAAGACCCATTGGTGGCCTTCAGCTGTTTTCTGCTCTTTGGTTAGGTTGTTGTCTGTTTGACATATTCCTCATTTCCATTCTCAATTTTATAAATTGCCCAACATTCTTACTATAAAATACAGAAACAGCACACACATTTAGACGATCGCAAGTCACATCTAGATATAATGTTATATTACTTGATAGGTATGAATAGGGCAAATGATATGGTTGGACTGCACATTAAATTTAGATCAACAAATTGGTTGAAATAAAAAATATGTACAATACAATCAGCTATATTTAATGGCCGTACATTTTAACATACAAAAAAATAAAAAAATGTTTTAACATACAAAACATAGGTAAGATCTAAGATCTTTTAAAACTGAATTTTTTATTGTCTTACATCATGTGTATTCTTGAGATAACTTCTCTTATGTGTGCTTCTTCTCCAAACATATTGAATAACTGACATGTATTGATTTGAATGGCATTGTCTGAACTGTGAGAACTGAATTTGTTGCAAAAATATATGAAACAGAGACTAAATAATCTTTTCACTCACTTTTTTCTTCAAACAACATATTTTGATCATGAGGTATCAGCTAAAATCTGTTTACTGATATATATATATATTCCTAGTGAAACCTGATTTAATCCCTTCTATGGACGTTCAGCTATATTGTTTTTATAAATTTTTTATGATGATTATTTGAGATGTAAATTTTGTACATTTCTGTTCTTTTTTCACAGATAGGTGTCATAGAGGGGACACAGCTAGCTACACACTATTTAAGTAAGGAATCAGGAGGACAAGGCGGTGTTGTTGTCAATATTTCTTCTACTGCAGGTAAGTAAGGATAAAGTATGATTCGAAATATAAATATTAATATATGAAGTAGGTTCACATAGGTTAAGTATGGAGTCGGGACTCTAAACTTGCATAAAATTTTCATCTTAATCATTGTACTTATTATTTAATGAAAAATTCTGAAAATATGATTGAAAATTATAAATTTAATGTTTTATGCTGTATTAATCTGAGAAATATAGAAAATGAGGAATTCACAACACAATTTAACAACAACATTCATTCATATTTCCTTTACAAACTTCTGGAATGTTATTTGCACCAATTTATTTTCAGGTTTAACTCCAGTCTTCTACATGCCAATTTATGTAGCTTCTAAATATAGTATTGTAGGATATACAAGAAGTGTTGCTGTAAGTATATCTCTACAAGAAGCACAGTAAAACCTATATTATCTAAATAAAACCTGGATCTAAAAAGAGTTGTGAATAAATTTAACAGACTATCAAAAATCTGCTGTCTGTCACTGAACATAATAGCTAAAACACTAAGATATAGGAATAAAAAAGATGTGGGGTGTCGGGAATTGAGCACGATTTTGTTCATGTAAACGTTGCTAACTGAAACTTATGTATTATGACATTACTTATATAGCAATAGCTAGATGTTAAATAAACACAATGTATACACACATTACACATTTAGCTACTTTACCTAACATGGGGTTTACATCAATAAGACAACAACCTAACAGGAAAAATAACTAAAATATACATGTATGTACAGTCCTCAACAAGCACCAACAGGACAGGCACTTGAATATGTGGCAAGAGTTAGTTTTAAACTTCTTGCAGACAAACAGTTAAAATGCTCTTTTGCTCTCTTCAAACTTTTACAAGTCTCTAGAGCTTGCATCTCAAATATGAAAAATCATTAACAGACAATTGGCATGTTAGCATTGATTTTGAGCCCTGTTTTGGCTCAGTATAAATCATTGCAGTTATCCATCTACAGCAAAATCCTACCAACAAAGAAAGAGGGATGAGATATACTTGTTTGTGTCCAGCTTTTACTGATACTACCATGTTTGATAAGAAATGGTCCAATGAGGGAGAAGAACCACCACCAGGGATCAGTGAAGAAGAGAAAAAAGGGGCTCTACACCTAATAGAAGCAACAGGTGTTAATACGTAAGTAGATACGATGAAAAATGTCCAAACTTGGTGCTTGGTAAACAGGAAACTTAAATTGTCTTAATTTTTTTTTATAAGAACATACTGTTATTTAACCTGTTAAGAATAATAAAAATCTATTTTAAATCAGATCTTCTATCAAAATGTTTCCACAATATAGATTTTACTATGCTCAATTTAAGTCTAAATATTTTGTGTTGTATTATGGTATGGGTGTGTCATTGCCTGTCTTAAGTCAATACCTTTTGGCAACAACTTAGCTATCTGAGGTTTATTTACTTCCTTTATTGTCTCGCCTTGACGGAGTCAAAAAGCAAGACATAGGTATGCTGTTTCCGGTGTCGGCTGCGTTGGCGGCGGCGTCAGCAATGTATTAGTTTGTGATTAGGTTTAGTTTATTGGGAACCACTAGTGGTAGGTCAATGATATTTGGTATGCAGCTGTAGTAGCATTTGCACATCTCATTTCCATGGAAATTATTTGGCCCTGCCCCCTCAGTCATAGTCTATTGACTATGAAACTTTTGCTTAGTTTACATGTATTAGTTTGTGATTAGATCAGTTTAAGATGAACCGCTACTGTTAGGTCAATGATATTTGGTATGCAAATTTATTGGCATTTGCAAGCTTGTTTCCATGGAGATTATATAGCCCCACCCCCTCATCATCGTTCATTGACTGAAACTTTTACATAGTTTGCAAGTTAATGTTTGTGTTGAGGTTTGTTTAAAGGGAACGACTTATGATAAGTCAACGGTATTTGGTATGCAGTTTTATTGACATTGGCACATCTCATTTCTATGGAGATTGTTTAGCCATGTACCTTCAGTCATGGTTCATTGACTTTGAATATTTGTATTACTTAAATGTTAAAGTATTGCTAAGTTAATTTCAACATTTACATTATCAAATTACAAAAAGGCGAGACATATCTCTGTGTTAACAGTTTATGGAATTTTATTCTTATTTCAGAGTAGAGGAAGTGGTGAAGGGATTTATGACATTACTAGAAGTAGATGATAATAATGGTGCTGTGATGACAGTGACTAAAAAACATGGTGTTCAGTATCGTCATGGGAAACCGTTAAGCCATAAATTATAACTTGAAAACAGAATATTTTAATCAGATGAACTACTTAAACTGTCATTACTGATTGAATCCTTTAAGTGGTTAGTTATTTTACACACATATTTAGTGTTCATTTAGTGTATCGTCTAGGGAAACCATTAAACCATAAATTATCACTTGAAAACAGAATATTTTATTCAGATGAACTACTTAAACTGTCATAACTGATTGAATCCTTTAAGCGATTTGTTATTTTACACACATATTTAGTGTTCAGACTAGACTACTGAAGATATAATTTTGGTCTTTCCTGAAGATACAACTCTTTGGTGTCTCTAATGGCAGTCCATAAAAAGTGTTTCAAGGTAGAATTTAGGTCTGTCCTAAGGGGAACAAGTCTCTGGTGTTTCTGATGGCACTTCATTATCAGATGCTTGCTAAACTAGGGATTTAAAGTTACTTTACTGCTAATCTTGTAAAATTCTCTTTTCACAAGTAGAAACATTTTAAGATTCTTTCTGGTACAAGAAATCTGGTACTGAATACATTCTTTAAGTTTCAGGTCCCAGGTTTTATAAATATTGAAAATGTTATCAGGAGTTTCCATGAAATACATGCCAAAGCAAGAATAACTTCAAGGAATGCATCTTATGGAGTTGAATCAAAATGAGCAATACATCCTTTATATAATAATGTGCATACATGATCACTTGTTAGTGATGCTAAATGCTACATTTTCTTGAAAAATTATTATGTATGTTCATGCTAATTATTCCAGGAAATGTAGCACTAGTTTGAGAGGAAGTTCCCATAGTATTCTATCTGAAATTTGTACATGTATGATTGGTCTTGTAGAAAACCAAGGCACGGGCACTGTCTTCCACAAATATGGTTGAATGTCATTTTATTTTGTTAATTTTACTTATATTTTGTGATAAATGAAATTAAATATGTATTTTTTATATTAAGGAGAAGGTAGGATATAAGTTTCTTGTAGGCTCCTTGTAAGATAAAGAAAATGGTTAGATTTTTAAATTACATGTACATCTTCTTATAGCTATGTAATACCAGTTCTATCATTAATAATGATAAAAAGAAGTATTTGTATTCTGTTTTCATTAAAATGTACTAGCTTTTGTCCATATTGAGTTGAAAGGTACTTAGAGCAAGAGGGACTCATAAAATCTGAACTTGATCAATATCTTTTTAAATGAGATATCTGATTTATGTGGATCTTGCTTGTTCTCTGTCTTATTTTACCCAAATTTATATTACTGTGGAGTCATTATATTTCAGTGGATACCTATTTGTCCTTGAATTTAAAGGGTATGGGTGCATGACAAAAAATATTTCCTATAGGCTTGTGAGCAATGATTTCTAGGTATCCATGAAAAAATACAATTTTAACCAATCCACAAAAATTGGTTACTACAAAAACAAATGAATCCATATTATTCAAATATGTTGTTTTCCACATTGTATTAAAATAACTGAGCCCCAAAAGAAATCCTATACATGTAGTACCTTTTCCTTTTATTCTTGGTTGATTTTATTTAGATGCATTTGTTAATGATTATTAATTTGAAGTATTTATTGTTAATTAAAATACATGATGTGAAACATTTTATTTTTACAATTTTTTATACAGGAATAAAGATATTAATCATTTTCTGTTGGAAGTCAAGAATTATTATGAATATACTTCTGTCAGACATAACAAATAAAATGTTACTACAGCCAAAAGATGCTTCCTATATTTCACAATATATTTGACATGACTGGAAAGTCAAGTAGAAAATTTCATTCCTTTTTTACAATCCGTTGATCAAAATATTAAAGAAAGATACAATTTTGAACACTTATCCTTAAAGAGTTAATTCAAAACATAAAGAGGCATAACTCTTGAAAGGCAAACCTTGATTGATAGTCACTAGTTTTTGGCTGAAGGATTTGTTCTTATCAACATTATCACTTGGAAATCATTGATGTACTCTAAGAAAGTCTTATCATTGAAAATCATACAATATGAATAAAATGTGATGTGGGAAAAAGACAATGAGACAGCAACCCAATAACACAAATAACCAAGCAATGTCAGTGACTAAAGTCCTTTGATTTATCATACAATTTGACATTGTCACATTCAAGTCTAAAAAAAAAGTATTTCATTGCAAAGCCTCTTCAGACTAATGATAGATAAGAGAGATATTAAATCACACAGTATTCTCTTTTACAATGCCAATCCTAACCAGCAAAATAATGTTTAATGAAAAGTGGGGTCTTTGGTGTGAACTCTAATTTAGATCAGAAATCCTAATCCAAATATTGATTGCAGTGACCTTTCATGAGTTATCAGCCTCTAAAATGACAAAAATAGGGGAAGGCTGTAAAAAAAAGTGTTAGGAAAAGACATGGTAAATCATGAATCAGGACAAACACTTGACAAAACCCATAGCAAAGAAACAGTACATTTTATTGTTGTTCTTCATCTCTAAGTCACAGAGAGGCTTTACACATGGACCAAAAGCTCAAACTTTAAAGATTTTTTGGCTCTTACCATTGATTTTTGCAGAATTCTGGGCTAGATGTTGATAATGCTACATTTGTAAATCTGAAATATTAACAAACTACAAACTATGTCCAGCAAAATAATAAACCAATACAAAGTAATAAACCAATACAAAGTAATAAACCAATACAAAGTAATAAACCAGCACAAAGTAATAAACCAACACAAAGTAATAAACCAATACAAAGTAATAAACCAATACAAAGTAATAAACCAGCACAAAGTAATAAACCAACACAAAGTAATAAACCAATACAAAGTAATAAACCAATACAAAGTAATAAACCAACACAAAGTAATAAACCAACACAAAGTAATAAACCAATACAAAGTAATAAACCAATACAAAGTAATAAACCAGCACAAAGTAATAAACCAACACAAAGTAATAAACCAATACAAAGTAATAAACCAATACAAAGTAATAAACCAGCACAAAGTAATAAACCAACACAAAGTAACAAACCAATACAAAGTAACAAACCAACACAAAGTAACAAACCAATACAAAGTAATAAAACAACACTATAAACCAACACAAAGTAGCAAGAGGCTCTCAAGAGCCTGAATCGCTCACCTGTATTTCAGAGGAGAAGATTTTTAAATGTTAGCAAACTTGATGAACAAATTGTGTAAAATTGTCTTTAAAGGGCAATAACTCCTTAAGGGGTCAATTGACAATTTTGGTCATATTAACTTTTTTGTAGATCTTACTTTGCTGAACATTATTGCTGCTTACAGTTTATATATATCTATAATAATATTCAAAATAATAGCAAAAAACTGCAAAATTTTGTTAAAACTACCAATTCGGTGGCAGCAACCCAACAATGGGTTGTTCGATTCGTCTGAAAATTTCAGAGCTGATAGATCTTGACCAATTGAACAAATTTACCCCATGTCAGATTTGCTCTAAAATAGTGCAGCGGCTACAAGATTATTTCAGACGAATTGTGCACATCCTGCTACAAGCATGAAATTTGGCATAGACCTTCCTCAACTATTACTCTTTTATTTCAGATAGGGAGGCATTTGAAAAAAATGTCTCACTTCCGGTAAGATCCAAAATGGCGGACATCATACCTAAATCAGCCCAATATCGATGGCTAGTATGTGAAAAGGTGTTATTATCATAATATTTGGTACAAACCTTTGTTATGTATTACTTTTGGATAAATTATATAGATTAGATGTCTTCAAAAACCCTACTTCCGGTAAAATCGAACATGGCGGACATTGTACTAAAATAAGCTTATTTTTAGGGAGGGTAATTGAAATGTGTTTTAACGTATTGCTACTATCATTACATTGTATAGGAACCTTTCTTTGGTGCTTCTCATAGATACAATGTATAAGACATATGTCTTTAAAACCCTTACTTCCGGTAATATCCAAAATGGCGGACATAGAAATATCAAATTTTTACTTTAATATATTTACACTAATAAAAGTACTAAAACATAGAAATATCAAATTTTTACTTTAATATATTTACACTAATAAAAGTACTAAAACATTTTTAAAATTACTACTATTTGGCCCAAAATACATGTTTATTCACAGTCACCACCTTATGCACACAAAGCAGTGCACGGGAGACCAGATTTTCTACATTAACAACGACCACGGCATCCTTTCTTATATCCACAATGTACAAGCTTCTGACAAAATGATGAGGCCTCAGAAAGAGTTTTTTTTAAAGTGATCCTCTTTGTCCCTTCGCCATCCATTAGCGCCTGAACTGGGTAGCATAAGAGCCAATTCCAAGTTCGTCCCCCTTAACACCTGCCTTAGTATATTGCACGTTTAACATGCTGGAAAAGACTAGACCAAGTTGAGGGAATAGCCTCAATTAGCCTTCCCTTTTGCGCAAATAGTTATTTTCTTGCTTCGTTAACCATGTTAACCCCATCTGATAAGTTTGTGCGATCTTACAGTTGAACCCCGGTGATTTAGGCTGATCAATCATCATTCCTTATGTTAAAGTCACATCTTCAAATGCCATCGATGTCTCCCACGCAGTCTTTTTTCCTTTTCAAGCGAACATAGAACCGTATCACAACCGGTTAAGGCATGGATCACAATAAGTCTGTGTGATCACTCATTGCCTAGTGCATTTGAAAGGTCATTGATAGATGTTTATTCAAAGCTTTTTGCCCTCCCAAACACAATCCATAGTTCGTCTACCCCAATATCACGGAATAGCGAAATAGTAATGACAGCATCATCAGAAACAACTGTTCGAATCATGATTCGTTTGAGTTCGTGTTTCACTGCATCAGACACCATGATTCTAGTGTCAGCCTCTTAATGCGAACATGGTGCTAAACTTGAAATACTTCACGTGGTGGATAAGATAGAATATCCTGAGCATTTGTTGCTAAAACTACCATACGCATCCAAGACTTCATCCACTCCTGTAACAGTTTTAAGGTATTTTTTAAGGTAAGGACATAATACTCTATCAGCATACTCGTTATGAAACACATTGAAACTGTAACAACAGTGGATGTAGTCTCGGATGCGTACATAGACAATACCGGTAGTTTACAGGCTACTACATGAAGCAAGAGCTACATTTAGGGGAAAAGGAATACACAGGCGAATCCAGGGTCAAAACAAATTCCTCAAAATTGGCAAAGTTTTCTGAGAGATGACGACAATAAGAAAGAACTTTTTAGTTTTCATTCACAGCAGATTGCTCAATAGATTTTGAGTAAAAGGTAGTTGTAGCAACAAATGCTGCGGATGTTCTGTGTTATCCATCACATGATGATGTTTCAAGTTTAGCACCATGTCCACATGAAGAGGCTGACACTAGAATCAAGATGCATGTGTCTGATGCAGTGAAACACAGACTTAACTGAGTCATGACTCGAACAGTCGATACTGATGTTGGTTTCATTGCTGTTTTGCTATTCCGTGACATAGGAGCAGACGAACTTTGGCTTGCATTTGGAAGTGGGAAAAGCTTTAGATATATATCTATCCATGACCTTTCAAATGCACTAGGCATTGAGAGATTACACGTTTGCTGGAAAAGGAACTGCGTTGGTTACATGGATGGCGTTTGAAGATGTGACTTTATCATTTAGAATGATGATTGATCAGCCAACATCACCAGATATGGATTTGATAATGTCATTGATAAAACGATACGTGGTTTTGTTGTAAGATCGAACAAATTTATCAGATGGGGTTAATGAAGCAAGAAATCATGTGTTTTGGAAGAGGAAAGACTTATTGTGGCTATTCCCACGACTCGGTCTAGTCTTTTTCAGCATGTAAAACGTGCAATATACCATGGCGGGTGTGAATGAGTAACAATCTTTGAATTGGTTCCAATGCTAACTAGTCCAGACGCTTATGAATGGCGAAGGGAAAAATATAATCCATGTGAACCCTTTTGGACAACTCTTTGTGAGGCCTCTCCATCTTATCAGGAGCTTGTACATTGGATGTAAAAACAATATCACGGTCTTTGTAAATGTTGAAAATCAGCTCTCCGATTGTGAATAAACATGTATTTGCGGCCATAAATTAGTTATTCAAAAGATGTTTTAGTACTTAAGTGATTTTATTTTGTTTTAATCAATCTATCCAAAACTCTACATCGAAGATATGGATTGAGGACTCATCTTTAATATTTTTTAACCGGAAGTGTTAACTTTGTATTTAAACATTTACAACAGAATAGAATTAGTGGTTTTGAGGATAACTTAAAGTCAAAAGTTAAAGGACCAGCACCAAAAAAAAAAACATTTTCTTTACATTTTGAAAAAAATTTAATATTAAAATGAAAAATTTGATATTTCTATGTCCGCCATATTGGATATCACCGGAAGTAGGGGTTTTAAAGACATATGTCCTATAAATTGTATCCATGAGAAGCACCAAAGAAAGGTTCCTGCACAATATAATGATAGAAGCAATACTTTAAAACACATTTCAATTACCCTCCCTAAAAATAAGCTTATTTTAGTATAATGTCCGCCATGTTCGATTTTACCGGAAATAGGGTTTTTGAAGACATCTAATCTATATAATTTATCCAAAAGTAGTACATAACAAAGGTTTGTACCAAATATTATGATAGTAGCTTGATGATAACACCTTTTCACATACTAGCCATCGATATTGGGCTGATTTAAGTATGATGTCCGCCATTTTGGATTTTACCGGAAGTGAGAATTTTTTTTCAAATGCCTCCCTATCTTATATAAAAGAGTAATAGTTGAGGAAGGTCTATGCCAAATTTCATGCTTGTAGCAGGATGTGCACAATTTTTCACAAAGCCGCCGTACTAAAAGCTTTTGTTTTTGAGATATAAGCCAAAAACTGCATTTGACCCCTATGTTCTATTTTTAGCCATGGCAGCCATGTTTGTCGATGGATCAAAACTTCGGATACAATTTATAAACTAGATACCCTAAGGAACATTTAGTTAAAGTTTGAAGGTATTTGGCCCAGTAGTTTCAGAGGAGAAGATTTTTGAAATAGTTTACGACGACAGACGACAACAGACGACGGACGACGACGGACGCCAAGTGATGGCATAAGCTCACATTGGGCCCTTAGGGCCCCGGTGAGCTAATAAAAAACAAATACTGATATAATATGCCTGACAATCTCATTGTAAATAACAGTAAAACAATCTTTGAGACTGTTTAAGACATCTTTTCATTAAATTTGTTGGATGTGTATGTATTGATATTTAAGACCCGGAACTCTTGATTTATTTATTAGTTGTAATTTGCTTCGAACTATTCTAAGTAATTGCAAGTACTCTTCTTTCAGTAGTTTGTGTCGATCTGATAAGTTAATCCCTTTCTAAACGATTTTTTACAGTTTGTTCTTATGTTGTGCTGCAACACCACTGTCCCAGGTTTGGGGCGGGTTGAGTGCTAGCAATCATGTTTCCAACTCAACAATTTGTATGTTCCAGTTATTCAGTGGTTGTTATTCAATGCTCTCTGTTATATTTGTTTTTCCCTCATTATAAATCAGGTAATGGTTATTTCAATTGAATTGTGTTGCACCTTGTCCTGTTGAGTCCTTTTATAGTTACCAGTTTTTTTTTCATTGTAGAAGTCCTTATGATGACATTTAGTTGTTTACATGCATGTAATTTTGTTTCTGGTGGATAGTCATCTCATTGGCAATCATACAAGGCACATCACCACCATTAGAAACTGGTTGCCATGATAGAGCTAAGGTTGCTGAAAATAGTGTTAAACACAATCAAACAAAAATCAACACATTATTGAAAAGTAGTTTTCATTATGTCAGATTTTCTGTAGTGTCAGTTAAAGTTCTCCACAACTTTTAATAACTCAAGACAATAGACCAGTTTCACATAAGCGACTTATCAACGCTGATCTCGAAATCCTATGCGCGTTTGAGTTTAAATCCCGCGATAATTAACGATATCATACGTGACAGGGGGCTACATCAAATTGACTCTGATATTTAGCAACACAATAATAAATCAACTAATAATACACATCTCTCTCTCATGGTGTATGCTTGAGATTATTTAACTTTAAGATATTAATAATCGTTTATTTGATTACCAAATTTAAAATAAAAAGATGTGGTATGATTGCAAACGAGACAACTATCCACCAGACCCAAATGACATATGAAAGCAACTATATATCACCATACAGCCCTCGACAATGAAAAAATCCATACCGAATAGTAAGCTCTAAAAGGTCCCGACACAAAACAATTCAAACCTGAAAATAAGTCATCTTGTTGCTAACAGTTGTGTTTTAATATTAGTAAAATGGTTTTTAAAAAAGTATTGAATCTTGTAATTGCTTTCTTTTGCCTACTGCGCTATGTACATTGCAGTATATCAGTTTGATTTTTCTTGAAAATATTTTTTGATAAAAAGAAAATACATTTAATTTCAGTTCTGTTCCAGAATCAATTCGCAGTTTTTCTGAAATATTTTTTTGCATCTTCGGCATGTGACATGCATGTAAAGGGGTAACGGCCTACATAGGTTTAGTATCATAGACTCGAACTTTTAATTTTCTTTAAAAAAAAAACCAGGTTACTATTATGGTGACTTTTACGTGAAATTTTATGGGTACAAGGACAAGTTAGCGGCATTACTAAATAATCGAAATTTCCACTAATAGTGGTATGGAAGTGTATACTAAACCAAAATTGATAGAATTTGTCCTTATATCCTTTGTCAAAGATGTAGTATATATTGTGATATGTTAAAAATATGAAAAACACAATGATGGGTCACCGAGTTTTGTTTTTAAGCTACAGGCTGTAAAAATATGAAACATTTTGTATGGACTATACAGAGAAAAATTTTAAAGGTATCATTATATGAATATTTGAAGGTAAAATGAATGATAGAATATCAAAATAAAATGTGGGAAGATATAGCCCTTATAAAATGCTTTCAGAATACCAACAGAAAAAAATTGACATGTAGTAGACAGGGCCTCAGCTCCAAGTTGAAGACCGTACTGTGACCTATAATTGTTAACTTCTTATACATTGTGACTTGGATTGAGAGTTGTCTCATTGGCACTCATACCACATCCTCTTATTTGAATGTACATTTATTTCAAATATTTCTGCATCAGTGATATTTCAAACGGCCATGATAATGAAGAGAGATATAAACGCAGTTTTAAAATACGTATCAGAAATACAGGTTTATCTTTAATTTCAAACATCAGACTATAATACAATGCATTCAATACCATTTTAATTTCTAAGCTATGTTCATGATCGACTTGGTCTATGCAGAGGTTCAGTCCCAGCAACCAGAGTAATTTTCTACATATTTTCAACTTTATCATTTTTCATGCCATCAGAGACATATAATACATTGTATTATATGTCTCTGATGCCATTAAAATTAATTGAATATCCTATATTTACCACGCTTTGCCATAAAAAAGATCAAATTGCTGAATGCCTCCTAAATTATTAAAATATTCCCAGTGACATTAAGGTCCGTAATGGCCATGATAAATAAGTATTAATTAGGTACTAGGGTTAACATTTTAAATATCTGTATAAAGGATGACCATTTGATTTTTAGGGGGGGGGGGTGTTTAGAAAATTATTATTCTAGTAGGAGTTAAAAATAAATAAGTATGACCAGGCACGATGGAAAAGAATAATCTGCAGGATGCAGGAAATAATTGTGTACAAAAGTTGAATAAATCAATCAAATAGTCGCCCTTAATCAGTAACTGCATGTATAGATAAGGGCACGTTTTTATCAATTGTCACCTGGTGAGATTGTACAAGGTAAAACGAGGATTCAATATGGCTAAGGTGTTAATTGACTTCTTAATTTATGACCTATTACTATGTATATGAAGTGAGCCCCGCTTATTTATCTAATTTATTCTTCCCGTTAAGTGAACGACCTCAGCGTGAATTTGTGACAATTAAAGGTACAATTAAAGCCAGGCGGCATATCAGATCGTATATTACCGCAACCAACAACACAGCAGTAGTCCGTTTTAAAATCTTTAAATATGTCATTGTTAATAAAGTTGTCTCGTCAATATAATTTTTATATTTTGATTCAAATGATGCTCATGTTGCTTTGACATGTAAACGCAAACATTTAATCAGATGATTTTTTTTCCAAGTCTGCATGGTCACTGCTTATCAACCGTTAGCCCCCAGTTGATGGACTCTCGGAAATTATCGCGTGATTTCATAGTTTGTCTAATTAGATTAGACATGCGCAGTTAAATGTGAAACTGGTGTATTACTGTATATCGGTTTTTTTTCGTGTGAGTTTAATTTTCGCTTTGTTTGCGGCAGCTAAAGAAACGCGAAAAAGTGACCCCCGCTTACATTTCCCTGTTAATTTCGAAGATTTTTCGTTGTGTAAGCGTTTCATACATATATATAGTCATTATACTGTTAACTATCAAGTATACACCAAATTGATATGTTGCTCATTTTCATCCTAAAAGTTAATTACATTATAAATAAAATCAGTCTTTTGTTTCGATCGACGGATCACCAGATGTACATATTTAATTAGGAACTCTGTTTTTTTAATAATTAGATTGGCTTATCATACATGCCATAACTTTTCACAACACCGCAATCAGTTACACATTCAAAAATGTTAATTAGCGACGATCTATTGATTGTTGTCATAATTTGGACACCAAATTCTGTGCATTTTAGTTCGTAGGACTTGTATTTATCTGTCAGTTAATTAATTTTATACTGTTTACACCTTTAACAATACAATACAGTGATTTTTTCACCTGTATTTTCCCATTTAGCGAAAATTATACACAGTGAAAATTTAACCTGCCCATTTTGTCATTAAATCGTGAAAAAAAGCAGACGTGAAAAAAAGACCGATAAACTGTATTAGCCTGACCTATGGTTTTCATACTTGTCAATCATTTAAGTTGACTGCTTGATATCTTATTCTTGTTTTTATGTTTTAGCACTTAATATTAGAATTGAGTTTATATGTAAGCAATATTGTTTTAACTAAAGGGCATTTTGCCCTATATTAAAAATTAATTTGTTTGCTGAAGTATATGTAAAATGCTCTCATCACTATATAGTGTGTGACTCAAATCTTAATTGAATATGATTGCCAGTTTTCGTGCTAAAGGTCAGTAGTTCTCTAGATACCCCAGGTTTCCTTGCCCAATAAGAACTGGCCACCATGACATAGCCAAGAGTACTGAAAGTGGCGTTAAACACCAACAATCGATCAATCACTGCTATATAGCTTTTTCATGTTCTTGGGAAGTTGAGTAATAATTTTGTCTTCATTCTTTGCTTGTGTTGTTGAGTCAATGTTTCATGCAACACGTTTTTATTCACATTTTGAGATCAATAACTACAAACAATAATCAATTTCTAAATATATATTTTATTTGGATCAATATATCTGATATTTACAATTGATATAAAGGCACTTTCTTCATTTGGTTATAATAAACCATTTATGAAAGTCATTCTTAACTCAAGACATATACAACCTTATATTATAGCTTCTATGTGAATCGTCAATTCAATTCCATTCCATGAAATCAGACGGTTATAATACTTTCATAAAATATAACAAAGTCCCAAAATTAAATTGTAAACAACAAGATGTAAAATTCATCACAGTTCAACATGATTGTATAAATAGTTAAAAAACAGTATTAGATTGCATTATACACGTAAAATGTATGTGAAAATATTAAAAATATTAATAATACAAATACTTTAATATTAAGGACACTAATCAAGTGTCAAAAGTTCAGAGTGCAATAAAAACAGCATGTTAAATAGTAATGGTAATATTGTTTGTCTTCATGCTGATGTCTTCTTTAAGAATTCTTCTGTGTAAGTGCAACGGTTACCTGTAAATATAATTTATAAATAAAACATAAATTAGGTAATTAAATGTGTACTATTATTTACCACATGGAACTTTTCAATTGCCTGTACCAAGTCAGGAATTGTTCTGTTTCAGACTGATTACAAATGTCCCTGTGAAGCAGTTTAGATTTATAGTTTTTTGTGTCCCAAATCAGGAACTACTGTTTTACAGATCAAAAAAGTGTTGCTGGAAAATAGTTTTTTTTTCACTTTCTCTTCCAAATCAGGATTTCATAGACCGCTTAAAACGTTTCAATGAATCAGGAAAGTTCTCTATTCCTATACCAAGTCAGCTGATATGGTAAAAATGCTAATGGTTTCAAAAAAAAATAATTTTGAAATTAAAAGGGTACAAAGACAGGTTTTTTTCACTAATGGGGACAGAACTGGAGTATTCTATTTTGTCTTCAAACATTAAAATTATTACAGTAATATATGTGCATTATAAATGGAGAATGTGTCCATGGGACACAGATGATGCCCTCGCTTGCATGTCATGTTATAAAGGGATATAACTCAAGAACAGTAAGAGTGACGCCACCTAAATTCGAACTTGATCTGAGTTTTGTGGTAATGCCCATTGTGTATAAGTTTCATAACATTTGGTTTCGGCAAACTTAAGTTTATGAATGGAAACGAAAAATTCAGCAATTTTTTTCATTTGTAAAGTGGCATAACTCTAGAAAGGTAAAAATGACACAACCCAAATTCAAACTTGATCTGCATTTTGTGGTAATAAGCATTGTGTATAAGTTACATAATATTTGGTTGAGGCAAAATAAAGTTAGAGAAAGGAAACCAATTTGGGTATGTATACATCGTAAAAGTTAGCAAAGACAAAATTTTTCTGAAATATGAAATAAAAGAAGAGTTCTGGTGTCTCCCATGTTGCATATATTTTATCAATCCAAGGGCAATAACTAAAAAATTTTTTTTTATAAATATCTTAGAGAAATGTAATTATCTATGTTAGAGCACATACAATGCAATTTTTCATATAATTAAAATCATCAAGGGGCATAACTCTTAAAAATAGTTGATCCACACTGATTTCCTAACTTGCTGATATAAACCTTTGATATGACTTTCATACCAATCCATGGAAGAAATGTAGGCTTGAGAGTGATTACAATGCAATTTTCTATCTAATTAATATTTTCAAGGGTATAACTCTTTTAAAAATAATTAATCAGCACTGATTTTCAAACATGTCCCAGACATTGCTCTTATAAACCTTTGATGTCAATTTTATAACAAACCTCGAAGAAATATAGCCTTAAAAGCACATACAACGCAATTTTTTAAATAAATAATATTTCAAAGGGGCATAACTCTTCAAACATCTCTGAGATATAGCTAATATAAACCTTTGATATAAATCTAATAAGAATCTGCCACAAATTGTACACTGTGCATTAATGAGGACTTTACAAGCATATTCATAGTTATTTGCTTCCATAGCAAACAACGCTTCAACTTTCGGAATGAATATTATTTTTGTTGTCAGTGCACCATAACAAACCCCTGATATGAAAATAAAGGAAATCCTGGAGTTTACATCTCATTTTCTTTGAATACTTAAATTCTTACAGAGAATGACTCTTACTATGCAATTTTCCATATAATTAATATTTCCAAGGGGCAAAACTCTTTTAAAAATAGCTGATCGACATTGACTTTCAAATTTGTAAGAAACATTGCTGATGTAAACCACCGATATAAATTTCAAAAAAAAATCCGTCAAGAATTGTACGCTTGAGAGAGCTTTCAAGACCAGATGGACAGAAGCACGGACAGATGGACACCAGGTATTTCAATGTCCCCAGCCATGCGTCAAGCTGGGGACAATAATGATGTTTGCATTGCAAGATAAACACTGTTTCATATACATATATCAATATTTTTCTTACTTTAGGACTAATTAAACTATTTTTTTCTTTCTGCTGCCTCCAAATTAACGCCAAATGAAACTAGAGGCTCTAAAGAGCCTGTGTCGCTCACCTTGGTCTATGTGCATATTAAACAAAGGACACAGATGGATTCATGACAAAATTGTGTTTTGGTGATGGTTATGTGTTTGTAGATCTTACTTTACTGAACATTCTTGCTGCTTACAACTATCTCTATGAACTTGGCCCAGTAGTTACAGTGGAAAATATTTTGTAAAAATTTACAAAAATTAATAAAATTTATGAAAATTGTAAAAAATTGACTATAAAGGGCAATAACTCCTTAAGGGGTCAATTGATAATTTTGGTCAAGTTGACATATTTGTAGATCTTACTTTGCTGTACATTATTGCTGTTTACAGTTTATCTCTATAATAATATTCAAGATAATAACCAAAAGCTGCAAAATTTTCTTAAAATTACCAATTCAGGGGCAGTAACCCAACAACGTGTTGCCTGATTGGTCTGAAAATTTCAGGGCAGATAGATCTTGAACTAATGAACAATTTTATCCTTGTCAGATTTGCTCTAAAGGCTTTGGTTTCAGAGATATGAGCCAAAAACTGCCTTTTTCCCTATGTACTATTTTTTTGCCATGTCGGCCATCTTGTTTCGTGGGCGGGGTCATCGCACACATTCTTTAAACAAGATACCCTAATGATGATTGTGGACAAGTTTGGTTAAATTTGTCTTAGTAGTTTCAGAGGAGAAGATTTTTGTAAAAGATTACAAAAATTTACGAAAAATGGTTAAAAATTGACTATAAAGGGCAATAACTCCTTAAGGGGTCAACTGACCATTTTGGTCAAGTTGACTTATTTGTAGATCTTACTTTGCTGAACATTATTGCTGTGTACAGTTTATCTCTATCTATAATAATATTCAAGATAATAACAAAAAACGGCAAAATTTCCTTAAAATGACCAATTCAGGGGGAGCAACCCAACAACGGGTTGTCAGATTCATCTGAAAATTTCAAGGCAGATAGATCTTGACCTGATAAACAATTTTACCCACGTCAGATTTGCTCTAAATGCTTTGGTTTCAGAGATATAAGCCAAAATCTACATTTTACCCCTATGTTCTATTTTTAGCCATGGCGGCCATCTTGGTTGGTTGGCCGGGTCACCGGACACATTTTTTAAACTAGATACCCCAATGATGATTGTGGCCAAGTTTGGTTTAATTTGGCCAAGTAGTTTAAGAGGAGAAGATTTTTGTAAAAGCTAACGACGACGGACGACGGACGACGGACGACGGACGCCAAGTGATGAGAAAAGCTCACTTGGCCCTAAAAAAGAATCAATATCAAAATGCTTTTAAAATTTTTTATACTTACATTTTTAACTTCTGTATATGCGTGCAGTCCATATTCTCCCAACTCTCTGCCTTGTCCTGACATCTTATATCCACCAAATGGTGCTGCAGCATCAAACACATCATAACAGTTCACCCTATTGACAAAAGTAAAGTCAGAAAAAATTAATTTACCCTGTATACAATCGTTATTTTACACAGTCAGATTCAAATACAGATCCCGTGTCCATGCTTCTCTTTCAAAGGATCTAACAGTGATCTGTTTTTCTTTCTGCGTTAAAGATATTTCCAGATCCTCTGGTTTTGTTCTAGTGATAAACACTTTCAAAAATTTGATGCAGGAATTTCATTGGCAGATGTAATTATTACCAGAACATAAAATAGAATGGAGTGTTGTCAGATCTTTGTAACCAAAGCATTGACACAAGATCTGTATTTCAATCCAATTGTAATTTCAATATAGTCAGTTTTTTAAGCAGTGTTGTGATCTTAGTAAAAAATATTTCAGAAAATTTGTAATTTCAGTAAAAGCCTCAAAGTTCATAACAAGACATCTGAGTTGCAAAAATATATAATTTCACTAACAGCCCCTTTCTCTGGCTGTATTTTGTAAAATTTTAGTTATTTGTATCATACTTTTCTTTGCTGGAGCTGCTTGACGCCATTTTAAAACTATACTAAACCTGCCCAAACCCAAGGTTGATGTCGAGTTAACTCGAGTATGTTCAAAAGGTCAAACTCGGGGGGTTCAATTGTCAGTCTAGTAAACCTTGACAGACTCTACTAACCCGAGTTGGACGAATCGAAGTAGGCCTTAGCGTTTAGTAGCGAGTCTGCTACATTTTATGAAAAACGTTTAAAAATTATAAAGAAAAGTTTTTATTTTTATTTTTTTTCATATTTTTTTATCGAGGCGTAAGCTACGCCAATGTTCGTATTACCAACTTTTGACTCCAGGTTTTAAATTTTTTCGACAGGTTACCTACTCTGTGGTAGGACATCCTGGTACTCAGTCAGGTAAGAGCAACCAAAAGAAGTAAAATCAAACATATAATCGGTGCAATTTGGGGGGCAAGTTTACTGTTTTCTGATGATTTTGTCATGTATAGAAAACATAGAACAGTTAATTTCCCCCACAAATTGTACAGATTGTAAGCTTGATTTTACTTCTTCAAGTTGATCTTACTTGACCAAGTACCAAGATTTCCTACCACAGAGAAGGTAACCTGTCGAAAAAATATAAACTCCGGAGTAAAAGTCGGTAATATGAAAATAGTCTACTGGCATATGGTTACCAATAGATTCACCACCCAGTTACTGGTCAGAGACTGTTGATAAGGTAATTAGCTTTATCTATGTTTAATTGGCATATAAGTGCCAATAGACTTACCAGACAGTTCCAGCTCAGACACTGTTGATGAGGTAATAAGCTTTATCTATGTATAATTGGCATATAGTTGCTAATAGACTTACCAGACAGTTCCAGCTCGGAGACTGTTGATAAGGTAATTAGCTTTATCTATGTTTGATTGGCATATGGCTACCAATAGACTTACCAGACAGTTCCAGCTCTGAGCCTGTTGATAAGGTAATCAGCTTTATCTATGTTTGATTGGCATATAGTTGCCAATAGACTTACCAGACAGTTCCAGCTCAGAGATTGTTGATGAGGTAATTAGCTTTATTTATGATTAATTGGTATATGGTTACCAATAGACTTACCATACAGTTCCAGCTCGGAGACTGTTGATGAGGTAATTAGCTTTATCCAAGTCTTTGGTGTGAACAGCTGCTGCCAAACCATAACTGTTAGTATTTGCTCTCTCTATCAGCTCTTCAATATTCTTAAACTTCATAATTGGCATCACTGGACCAAAGATCTATAAAAATACCATATACAATAATCACATTATTAAGCATTACTACACAGTGATCAAAATAATGTGCAAGACTATTGTCTTTCTTTTTCATTTGTCAAGACTTCCATAACGTTTCTACATTTACAAGAATCTATTATTTTTTTCTTAACAATTACATTCTGATTAATTTACAATTCACATAACTTTTATTATTCAGCACCAACTAGATAAAGAAAATTAGACTTAAATATTAAACATCTGTACCACACCAACTTAAAATAAGTGCAATATTTAATCACAATTAGTCAAATAAGAATGTAATTTAAAGGTACTGTAGACCAAAATATTATTGAATTGGAATGTATTACCACTAGTAGGCAAAAGTCTTTATTTAAACAACACATTAGTACTATACATCAAAGTGCTGATGAGCACTGCAAGGTAAAGGTTGTACACTTTTAGTTGAACCTATTTTTTTTTAAGAACAGACAGATTCTTACACCTTGCACCACTTTTTTATAAAAATAGTTTTAATGGTTATATACATACACATCAATTTGTTCATGAATATCTGAGTATATATTATTAATAAATTGCATGATATATGAGGGATAGGATCTAAAGAATGTTCACCTCACTATATTGTTTTTGGAGGGATAGGATCTAAAGAATGTTCACCTCACTATAATGTTTTTGGAGGGATAGGATCTAAAGAATGTTCACCTCACTATAATGTTTTGGGAGGGATAGGATCTAAAGAATGTTCACCTCACTATAATGTTTTGGGAGGGATAGGATCTAAAGAATGTTCACCTCACTATATTGTTTTGGGATGGATAGGATCTAAAGAATGTTCACCTCACTATATTGTTTTGGGATGGATAGGATCTAAAGAATGTTCACTTCACTATATTGTTTTGGGAGGGATAGGATCTAAAGAATGTTCACCTCACTATATTGTTTTGGGATGGATAGGATCTAAAGAATGTTCACCTCACTATATTGTTTTGGGAGGGATAGGATCTAAAGAATGTTCACCTCACTATAATGTTTTGGGAGGGATAGGATCTAAAGAATGTTCACCTCACTATATTATGTTGGGATGGATAGGATCTAAAGAATGTTCACCTCACTATATTGTTTTGGGAGGGATAGGATCTAAAGAATGTTCACCTCACTATATTATGTTGGGATGGATAGGATCTAAAGAATGTTCACTTCACTATATTGTTTTTGGAGGGATAGGATCTAAAGAATGTTCACCTCACTATATTGTTTTGGGATGGATAGGATCTAAAGAATGTTCACCTCACTATATTGTTTTGGGATGGATAGGATCTAAAGAATGTTCACCTCACTATATTGTTTTGGGATGGATAGGATCTAAAGAATGTTCACCTCACTATATTGTTTTGGGAGGGATAGGATCTAAAGAATATTCACCTCACTATATTATGTTGGGATGGATAGGATCTAAAGAATGTTCACTTCACTATATTGTTTTTGGAGGGATAGGATCTAAAGAATGTTCACTTCACTATATTGTTTTGGGAGGGATAGGATCTAAAGAATATTCACCTCACTATATTATGTTGGGATGGATAGGATCTAAAGAATGTTCACCTCACTATATTGTTTTGGGATGGATAGGATCTAAAGAATGTTCACCTCACTATATTGTTTTGGGAGGGATAGGATCTAAAGAATATTCACCTCACTATATTATGTTGGGATGGATAGGATCTAAAGAATGTTCACCTCACTATATTGTTTTGGGATGGATAGGATCTAAAGAATGTTCACCTCACTATATTGTTTTGGGATGGATTGGATCTAAAGAATGTTCACCTCACTATATTGTTTTGGGATGGATTGGATCTAAAGAATGTTCAACTCACTATATTGTTTTGGGAGGGATTGGACATTCAAGTAATCTTCATACAAAATTAGATAGGTGTCCCTTTAAAGCATGACATCCCAAACTAGTTGTTGTCAAAATCAACAATGGTGGGAAGATCAGGGTTGGGTCATTCAAACCTCAAGCTTTGTAGCTTACTCAAAACAATGCCTATTATACATCATATACACACATGTAGCATGAAGTAAGAAACAATAATTATTTAATATGGTTGGGTTTTTTTTCATAACATAAATCATACCTCTTCATTAGCAATAGCCATATCATCTTTGACATCAGCAAAAACTGTGGGTTGTATGAAGTATCCCTTGTCCCCGATACTAGCTCCACCTGTTGTCAACTTTGCTCCCTCTTTCTTACCAATATCAATATACTTCAGTACAGTGTTAAACTGATCCTGGTCAATCTGTTAATAGAAATATTTATACAAGGTCAAGTCATTGTATAAGTACCTTACTACCAGTTCTGTTTTCTGATTTTTTAATGTTTCATATGTATATTAATATCTTAATTTATTACAATTTACCTAAGGATAAGGTATTAAATCAAATCGTGACTGCTATTTCTTTTTGCTTTTCATAAAACATTGAAACTCTAGAATTTGTGTATTGTAAGTTACTACTTAGTGATCTAAATAATTAGCTAAGACCCTCCTTGGACAAACCTGTGGTCCTTGTTCAGTTGATTTTAAGTATGGATCCCCAACAGTCCTTTTCTTTGCTCTCTCTGTACTACGTTCTACAAATTCATCATATATCTTTTCTTCTACGTACACTCTAGTTCCTGCACAGCAACACTGACCCATGTTGAAAAACAAGGCAAAATGGGCATCCTCAACAGCTTTCTCAACTAGTAAATAAATTTACAACTTTTAGCATTTTAATCTGACCACAAAACTGGCTCTTTTTGAGTACCGGTAATTACAATAAGTTGTGTTGTAGTGCTAAGTATACCCAACAATAAGTTGCATGTGTTGTTGTGCAAAGTGTACCCAACAATAAGTTGTGTCGTTGTGCTAAATATAACCACGATCATAATTCAAAGTACTGAACAAAAGAATGGTTTCCGACAGATCCTTGAATAAAGGTGTGACAGAAATTATTGTCAGATGAACCAATGGATAGACAGACAAGGTTATCACATTATTTTAATATAACCCCAATTATAAAATTTCAATACATTTTTAAATTGATAGAGTTTTACTTTGGAATCAAGAGTTGATATTTTCTGAAAAAAAAATGATGTTGTTTATAGCAAATTTCCACACGAACATTATTTTTTGTTAGTTTCTAGTACTGTTTCTAGTTTCTGTGATACTATAGCTCCAAAGTCAGTCTCGTTTAGATGCATCTAATTCTGTCCTGCAATAAAATAATCTGCTTTCTTTTTCCATTTTATCATACTTGTCACTTATATATATGTTCTAAAGAGCTGTGTATCAACAATATATTTTTAATTACATACTATTAACATCAGAGAGTATGATATTTGGACTCTTTCCTCCTAATTCCAGGGACACTCTCTTCAAGTTAGACTCAGCTGCAGATTTGGCAACTATTTTTCCAACCTTAAGTAAATAAATGTTCACGTATAAAATTTTGTACCTTTACTTCATATACTAATATCTTGGGTATTTCATTTTAGAGGAAATCAAACAAAGATGTCTTTTTATTATTTGTGTTCTTGGGTATCTATCTCGTTGATATCTTGGGTATCTATCTCGTTGACGTATACCATGTGATATATACCTACATCTTTTATCATTTATATGAACTAAAATATGTTAAAACTTGTTAAGTATGCTGGTGATTTGATAACCAGCTTGTTAAAAAGCGTGGACACCTTTTTATCATTGAAGGTTATATGTTGACCTTATATGTGATGGGTTGCTTACCTAGTGTTGTTTACCCCATATCCTGAACATCATTTCAACTAGATAAATACTACATACATTGTTGAAATATGGGGTAAATTCAGGTTTTGTGATGACTAAAATTTTTTAAAATGTAGGAAGGTAATAAAAATAACTGCTATAATAGAAATATACAGATCATATGACATTACACAGTTCTGATTTACTCCTGTATGCCCAGTCAAGGCATTTTTCATTGAGAGGAAGAATTGATCATGATTTTTCCAAACTACCAGTTGTTATCTAACCCAGGAATATCTACAAATCCTAAGAGTACCTTAATTATTTTGTCAGCCTTGTTTCATATGACTTAAATAATAAAAGAACAGAGTTCCAATTTCCCTGCGTTGCACATATTTTATCTATCCAAGGGCAATAACTAAAAAAAATTTTTTTGGTTCTTTAAAACTTTTTACAAATATCTTAGAGAAATGAAGGCTTGAGAGCAAATACAATGCAATTTCCAACATAATTAATATTTCCAAGGGATATAACTATTTTTAAAATATTTGATCGGCACTGATATTCGTACTTGTCCAAAACATTGCTTATATAAACCTTTGATTAAAATTTGGCAAAAATTGTACGCATGAGAGCGCTAACAATGTAATTTTCCATAAAATAAATATTTCCAAGGGAAATAACTCTTTTAAAAATAATTGATCGGCACTGATTATCGAAATTGTCCAAGGCATTGCTGATATAAACCTATGATATAAGTTTCATAAAAATCTGGCAAGAATTGTACACATGAGAGTTCTAACAAGGAAATTTTCCATAAAATTAATATTTCCAAGGGGCATAACTCTTTTAAAAAATAATTAATCAGCACTGATTTTCGAACTTGTCTGAGGCATTTCTGATATCAACCTATAATATAAGTTTTTCAAAAATCTGGAAAGAATTGTACCTGTAAGAGTGCTAACAAGACAGGATGGAAGGACTGACGCCCGGTATTTTTATGTACATCCCCCCCCCTCATGAAATGCGTTACACAGGGGACAAAAAGATATACAGTTAACTCTCGTTGTCTCGAACTTGCTTGACTCGAAATTTCGATTGAGTCGAAGTTTTCTCGTGGTCCAGGACTTTGTTCCATATAAATATATGTATTTCGACTCCTGATGAGTCGAACTAAATTTACAGCCCCAAGGTTGACAAAAGCATTCAAAATTCATTATTTATCTCGAACTAATACACATATGTCAAAATATGACCTCGGGGATTTGAATTGATTGAAGAGTTAATCTGACAATACACGTGTAATTAAATTTCCGGTCTCTGACCAATGAATTGATCTATGACATGCTTTTTTCAAGAGAGTTTACCTTAGATTATTTCTTATCACCACGATAAATAATTAGTGATACACTGTTAAAATTTATGAAAACTTATTCAAAATGTTTTAAAATCAATTAATAGTGATTAACACTAATGAGCTTGGGTGTGCATAAAGTGGGGATTAATTAAGACTTCTGATGGTGATCACACAAAAACTACTCAATCGGCGTCTTTAATCTTTTTGTATTTTCTCTTGCAAAGAAAGATTGAGATAAAAGTAAATAAAAAGATATCTGAATTTCTAAAATCTGTTGTATACGGGAATGAACAATTTAGTCAACTTTAAATGACTTAAATAATGCTGAGATCGATTGATAATTACTCTCAGGGCTAAAAGCCACAGAGAAAAATTGTGACTGTCCAAAGACATAAACAAGTGAAAACAATTAAAGACCATAACTTACAAATACTTCGATCTGAGACCAGAATATCGATCACCTTCCCATATTCATCCAGATTTATTTTAGCCTTACCATGCTAAACAAGAGTGGTGTCCCTTGGTCTGTCAAACTTCCGGTTTTCGTTTGAGTCGAACTACGGGTATCTCGAAATATTTTTCAGGTCCGGCTGACTTAGAGTGTACATAGAATATAGATAATGTATTTACAATGTATTCCATGTAAATTTTTTTATTTATATTTTTCACCTGTTCGTGAAGGAGCAAAGTCTCAAGCCGTAGGATCACAGTCTCAAACCAAGCTCCTCTCCCTCTGCTCCCTCTCACTAAATTTATACATATATGCAATCCTTCTACAGGTCAACTGACATAGCAGTACAAGGAGTAGGACCCATGTCTGATTTCACTATCCCTATCTACCTCGAAAGGCAATCTCTCTAACACAATCATATCTCTGTATACTTTGTTCAATTTGGTTCTGAATGTTTCATTATATCATATAGTCCTAGCTAAGGCTAGCTGGAGAATAGCATATTATAAAAAAAATATCACAAGGACTATAAGAGCTATGGTTCTGCTGCTAAGCTTTAACATACTCCACCCTGCTTCCTTGTACAGGACCCAGCATCATTGAAAACCTACTGAAATCTGAGTAAGAACCAATTTATTTTATTTTGGATGCTGAGATAAAGCAGTGCCAGTTATAAGAGTCCACCTCTGCTAACTCTACTCCCCTAGTTAATACACAGTGATTTTCCTAGTGCTTAGGGGAAGGGCCCATGGTCCATGCAATTGGGAATAAATGTTCGTGAAATGTTGGCTTTGGGGAAAATATATTAGTCCGTTAACTGCATGAATTGCAAACAAGATTCAAGAGATTTGTAAACAAACAAGCATTCTGTGAGTATTGCATCGCAATACATAGTCCCCTACCAGTTACAAATTCATTGTAATGGAAAGAAATTCTAACTTGATCTATAACTTGTCATGATGTAAACTACATAAAAATATCAAATCAAAATCTTCAAGCATGACGAAAAAAACTGTTTAAAACTGATTATTTAAGTGAATTTTCTATGTCCAAAGACTATAACTCTGCACAAAATTATCAGACTGGAACAAAATTCCAACTTGATCTGTAACTTGTCATGATAAAACTATATACTAATTATCAAATCAATATCTTCAAGAATGACAAACAAACCTACCACTAAATTCCTCAAACAATTTACCAAAGAAAAGGAAAAAAATCCAAAATGTAATTTTGTCTTTTAAAAGTCTTTTAAAAAATTAGTTATTTCCCTTTGAACAGAAATCAACTAATTAATAAGTATTTCATCAAAAATTTAATTCTAGGGAAAGGGCTTTAACTGAACAAAGAGAAACGCTAAAATCGTGAAAATTGAACTTGACCTGTAACTTGTCATGATAAATCAATAAACCAAATATCAAATCAATATCTTCAAGCACAAAGAAAAAAGTCTGGAAAACTGATTTGCCGGACTGACAGATGAACAGACAGACAGACAGACAGACAGACAGACAGACTGACAGACAGACGGACGGAGTGCAAACCTAAAGTCCCCTTCGACTTCGTCGGTAGGGGACTAAAAACCAAGATACGACACCAAAAAAAATCTTGCAACAATGTCTATATATGATTGGGAATTTTAGAGCTGAAAATTGGGAAAGAAAGGGCATATTTCTCTTTGGGGTTGGGGCCCAAATTCGGACCCAAAATAAGGGTTGGAAAATCCCTGATACAAACCTCTGTAGATCCAGTAAAGGCCACTTTGTCTACATCTGGGTGGTTGGCAATAGCAGCACCAGCAGTTGGGCCATAACCTGGTACAATGTTCAATACTCCTGGGGGAAATCCTGCCTGTAAAAGTAGTTAATTAAAACTGATTATAATGTAACAGAAGATAGCATTCCAATGTATTTAAGGAACAGTGCTTTAATAATAATAAACATGTCTTAATTGATATTTCAAATTCATAACTCCTTTAAATCATTCATTCTACTCTACACAGTTTTTCTGTATTACTGTATAGAATAGAAGAATGAATGATGCATCACATTTGGCTTCTTATTTTAATTGTTTTCTATTTTCTTTCCAAAAGATTGCAAGCTCTGATTATTCAGAAAATAACAATTTTAAATCACTCTCCAAGGAACCTATGTGAATTGTTGACTCTGATCTATTTCTTTCTTGAATAGCTACAATGGCTTAAACCAACAGCCATGACTAGTTTAAATACTTTTGCTACCTTATTATAAGGCCTGTTTTAACCTGTGATTTCCAAATTATACATACATTCTCTTATTTCCTATATGTTAATGGTTACATATTTTTTACTGTGCTGCATTGGGTCTTGATCAGTAAGAGATGTCTTTAAATACACCTTAATCTTTAACCAAGCCAGGTAATCTATGCCACACATTGTATATGTTCTAAGTCAGGTTATCTATCCAGTATTTCATGCTTGAACCAAGTCAGACAATCCATCCCATATTTTGTTCTGTTATGTATACTTTGTTCCAGTGTTCTATCTCTTCAACAACTACATTTTTGTTTAATCTTCAAGTGTAGATTTTTATCAAAGACTGACTAATTGTCAAAAATAAATGCTAGGATACAAGAATCATAAAAAGAATATACAAGAGTTTAAATTTTGTGATTTGTAGGGCAAAACCTGTTCTAGGGGATATTAGACTTTTTTCTTGTGCCTTATTCTAATTCTCCATGAATATCAACCTTACATGAAGGAATATTTTCATGAAATAAGCAAAAAAATTAAGTTCCTCGTAAAAATTTCCACACAGCATATCAATAAAACAATCTGACACTTAACATTTTGTGTGTAATTAGGTTTTATTTTAACTGCTTTGGATTTTCAAATGTTTTGGCCTCTAGCATCACTGAAGAGACATTAATTGTGGAAATGTGCATCTGGTGCAGTAAAATTTGTACCATTTATATTATTACCTCTGCTGCTAACTGAGCAACATATAAAGCTGTCAGTGGTGTCTGTTCTGCTGTCTTCATCACGACACAGTTACCCATTGATAATGCAGGTCCTAATTTCCAAGCCTGCATCAGCAAGGGGAAATTCCACTGAAAAAAAATCAAACATTCTTAACAATGAATACTGAAGACATTTTGAAATTTCATTATATATGGACAATATGGAATTCTTTTGTCTCCACTGATTTGAATTTGTGTGTACAAAAGCAAGGTATCTCCCTTGTAAACATATCATTCTTAAGTATCGTGAAGGTTGTGGCTAGTACATTCTTTGAATTGATAAGGCTTGTGTTCATACAAATTGTATTCATGTAATGAGTAGTTGTGCACAAGGCAACGTTAAGTATACAATAGGTAACGTAAACAATAGGTAAAGTTTGTGACGTTAGTTACATAGTAAATGAATAGTGGAAAATCCTTGACATTAAGAGTATTGCACTCCTTAGAATGTCCCCATTCTAACAGAACCTTCTGGAAAATATATATAAGTACCACTAAATTGACAACATCTAAGTATATTGTAACTTTTATTGGTAAACATGCTGCAGATTAGATTGGCGTCTTCAGGACAAGGTATACAAAATTAAAGAACCTTAGTGAGTGCGCTCACATACCCCACGTCCCCACATTGTCTTTGGAGAAATAAAATAAGTGTCAGAAAAAAAAAATTGTATCAGAAAAAAAAATTGAATCATAATTTCCTGTCAATATGCACATCTACATAGTATGTCCTTATTATCTACACAAGTTTCATGAAATTCTGTTGTGTGGTTTGAGAGGAGTTGCGATGACAAAAGGTTGCAGTAGTATATTGGGAAAATAAGTTCAAAGGGGCGTAACTCCTGGAAAAAAAATTGAATCATAATTTCCTGTCGATATGCACATCTACGTAGTATGTCCTTATTATCTGAAAAGGTTTCATGAAATTCTGTTGTGTGGTTTGAGAGGAGTTGCAATGACAAAAGGTTGCAGTAGTATATTGGGCAAATAAGTTCAAAGGGGCGTAACTGCTGGAAAAAAAATTGAATCGTAATTTCCTGTCGATATGCACATCTACGTAGTATGTCCTTATTATCTGAAAAGGTTTCATGAAATTCTGTTGTGTGGTTTGAGAGGAGTTGCGATGACAACAAGTTGCAGTAGTATATTTGGCAAATAAGTTCAAAGGGGCGTAACTCCTGGAAAAAAAATTGAATCGTAATTTCCTGTCGATATGCACATCTACTTTGTATGTCCTTATTATCTGAAAAGGTTTCATGAAATTCTGTTGTGTGGTTTGAGAGGAGTTGCGATGACAAAAGGTTGCAGTAGTACATTAAAGTAAATAAGTTCAAAGGGCGTAACTCCTAGAAAAAAAATTAAATCGTAATTTCCTGTCGATATGCACAACTACATAGTATGTCCTTATTATCTAAAAAGGTTTCGTGAAATTCTGTTGTGTGGTTTGAGAGGAGTTGCGATGACAAGAAATAGGACTGACGGACTGACGGACAGACGGACAGACAGACAGACAGACGGACGGACGGACGGACGGACGGACGGACGGACGGACGGACGGACGGACAGACGGACAGGTCAAAAACATTATACCCTCCGCAACTCGTTGCGTGGGGTATAAATATACACCAGCAAAAACTAGATAAAATAGTGGTTAATACATCATAAGACAATTAACGCATTTTACCTCTTTTCCTATTTTTAGCCATGGATGCCATGTTGATTGATTGGCAGGAACAAAAAACAAAAACTTTATACAAGATACCCCATTTTGGGGGTAATCTTCCTATATAAATGTATATAAAGACATGCCGCTGGATTGGGACTGTGTTTGTCAAATATATTAATGGTTTGCAAAATAAATGTCAACAATGGGTAAGGTATTTTCATTTTTCAATTAGATATCTGCATATATGCTGTTTTTTCCCTATAAATCAAATTAGGATATAAAAAATTGTGTATGAGATAATTGAGAAATATATCATGAATGGGTCATCGTCAAAAACCTTCAATATATGAATAGGGGAGGGGGATGTTTTTGAAATCTGTACCAAAAATCCCACGTTGAGACCCCCTGTGGATACCCTAAGGATAATTCAGTTTCAGTTTGGCTGAAGTAGATCCAGTGGTTTCAGAGAAGATTTTTGAAAAGGTTTATGATGACAAGGGACACTAAGTGATGGCAATAGGTCACATGGCTAATAGGGCAGGTAATCTAATGTACTGAGAATAATTTTCAAATTAACTTACAGGAATAATTTGTCCACAGATGCCTACAGGTTCATGTCTAGTGTAGCTGTAGAAATCACCACCTACAATTAAAAGACATCTTTACATCTAATAAAACTAACATTTCTATGTCAAATTTAACACTAAACTTCTAAAACCTGGAAGGGTTTATTTCTGTTATAGTAATATCAAGAATCATTATATAATGTGAACAATTATTTGCTGAAAGGATGAAAACCTTTCATACAATATACTCAATAGTTAAGATACCAAGGGAGAAACCTATGAAACAAGAACAAATGTCAGTGAGACAACAACAATATTACTTATATTTAGATAAAATTCTATTCTGATATTAGATTAAAAATCTGACATGAAAAAACAATAAACAGAAAAAAATATTTTAATCTTACAATATTATATGACACATTCAAATTTTGAAATAATCGAATGCCTTTTAAAATCAATATAAGATTTTTTAAATTTGGATCATTTAGAAACAAGTCCAACAATTATATAAATTAATGCTTAAAATATAATGTTTATGCTCTATGAGTACATATTTTCCTTGATTAGGGAAATGAAATGTTTGGAAAAAAAAACAAAAACAAACCATTTCATCAATCTCCGTAAAAATGATAAGGTAAATTAAGAACATGATGAGATGTTCTGTTTATGTAAAGAAGCTAGCCTGGGGACTGAAAAAAACCACTAGAGATTACAAGAATATCCCTGTTATGATAGTCTAGCCCACATAGAAACATATATGGAAACAAAGGACATTAGTAGTAGTAGTAGCCTGTATAAAGATAGGGACATGGGCCGGTATGATTGCCAATTAAATAACTATCCACCAAAGACCAAATGGTTAGGATGTGAACAACTACATGTCACAAAGGCCCTTAACAAAAAGCAAAACCCATAGTGTATGTAAATCATAAAAGATCAATGGATTACAAAATGTGAAACAATTCGAAACAGAAAACCTGGAAAGGGCCTGACTAATCATATATGTACTTTTCACAAAACAAACTAGAACTGTGAGTGAACTAATAAAGGATACCACCATCGCGCAATATTATTAATATATTAAAGGGAGTAAATTGATTATCTCCCCTCTAACATGTTGGACTTGGATTGTATTCCTTTATGCACATCCTCAGGTATTGTTTGTGTGTAAAGTTTTATCACTCTCTTTTAGCTGTGCAGAAGGAGTTGTGCTTAAAAGGCACATGGACAGACAAACAGAGAGATGAACAGACAAACGTACATGGTGATTACTTGTACCCCCAAAAACCTTGTTTATTGGTGGTATAATAACAAAAACAAGAGACAAAAGTACAGATCTTAGAGTTCTCTTAGTTACTGAAGTTCAAAGCCCAATATCAATTTATGAAAAGAAACATCTTTTCCAACACTAAAATCTAGACTCTATAATCAACGTCATCGTAAAAATAAGTATAATATAATATAATACTCAGCATAAATATTAGTTTCCATTGTAATTATTGAGAAAAAAAAATATCTACTATCTTATTTATACATTAAAATTGAGAATGGAAATGGGTAATGTGTCAAAAATATAACAACCCGACCAAAGAGCAGAAAACAGCCGAAGGCCACTAATGGGTCATCAACACAGCGAGAAAATCCTGCACCCGGAGGCGGGATTCAGCTGGCCCCTAAACAAAAATGTGTACTGGTTCAATGAAAATAGATGTCACACTAAACTCCAAAAAATATAAATGAACTAAAATTAAAAAACATACAAGACTAACAAAGTCCAGAGGCTCCTGACTTGGGACAGGCTCAAAAATGTGGTGGGGTTAAACATATTTTGTGAGATCTCAACCCTCCCCCTATACCTCTAGCCAATGTAGAATAAACAAACACATAGCAATACGCACACATATATATTTTCAGTGGGTACAAGAAACATTGTTCAAAGGGACGTTTAGTTTATAAGTTTACTCTTTTAAATCACTACATATAACTGTCTGGTCTCTGAAATGTTAAAAAATGTATTACAAAAATATTAAATATTTCATGAAAAAGCCGTGTTTGTAAACTAAAAATGATCATATTCATCATCAAACAATATTATTTGGTTCTTCCAAAATTTTTATATCGAGGAAGGTGACATATATGTTAAATTTCACATACCTAGCTGGAAAGGCTAAAGTTCAGTTATATCCAAATGTTAAATTTAATAAAAAACTTGGTGGAAAGACTCAAGTTCTAGCCTGTTCAAAGCTGTGGAAATTTCAATAGTGTTTACCCCCAAACAAATGAAAATTTAGGATATATTAATCAGGAAGAAAGTCAAACACAGTAAGCTGACACTGACCACTGATCACTTTTTAAACAACCTTTTTTTACAGAAAGGACAAGGTTTAATAGGGCTACTATTTTCGCACTTTGAATTGGACAATAAAAAGCTATGAATATATATCAAACAAGCATTCTGAGAGTATTGCATGTCAATACATAGTCTCCTACCGGTTAAGAATTCATTGTACTGGAACAAAATGTTAACTTAATCTATAACTTGTCATGGCGTAAACTATATAACAAATATCAAGTCAACATGATGAAAAAAAGTACGGAAAACTGAGTATTTGAGTGAATTTTCTTAGTCCAAGGACCATAACTCTGCACAAAATCATCAGACCGGAACAAAATTCGAACTTGATCTGTAACTTGTCATGAAAAAAAAAATATATACCAATTATTAAATCAATATCTTCAAGCACGACAAAAAAAAGTGCGGAAAACTGATTATTTGAGTGAATTTTCTAAGTCCAAGGACCATAACTCTGCACAAAATCATTAGAACGGAACATAGTACGAACTTGATCTGTAACTTTTCAAGATGAAACTATATACCAAATTTCAAATCAATATCTTCAAGCACGAAGAAAAAAAGTGTGGAAAACTTATTTGCTGGACTGACGGATGGACAGACAGACAGACAGACGGACGGAATGCAAACCTAAAGTCCCCTTCGACTTCGTCGGTAGGGGACTAATAATATCCTTCAGATGTTCAAAAAGACATCATTCTACCTATAAGATATCAAATTTCGTTGATTAATGAAAAATTGTATTAAGGTGAATATTTGATTTCGTTTTTGTCAAAGTCTGCATACCAGCCTATAGGAAATGTATACTTCATTGAACATTTAGTTTGTTGTTAACCATTACCCACAAAATCAAAGAAAATTGGTATTCAGCGTACAAAAATGAATCCATAGTTTCAGATATTAGAATTTAGATGTTGTCATGCATATTTAGATATGATCCAAAGCTTTACTCAAAAAGATATTTTGCTACAAAAGGGTTTATACGAAGACGTTTCTGTTGGTAAAATATATTTTTGGGTAAGGCCTTTGCTCAGAACTAATTTTACCAAAAACTATGGATGAAAATCACCTTTTCGGGTCAAATATGCAAATTTCAACAATTTCATGAGATCACATCACAGCTGTTTTTCTGTTATCTATGATGAGTTTATTCTGAACTGATATATCAAGATCATATCACCCAGCACCCTATTCACTATACATAAGAACTAACATATTTTTGAAAGAATTGAGGAATTTACTATTTTTTCAATTTCAGGGGCCAAATTATGGCTCTTATCATACATACCTCTTCCTTTAATGTAAAAAAAAACATAAATGCCAATTGACTTACAGATAGGAATAACTTTTCCGTGGTTTTTGTCTGCCCATCCTGCATAGTACCTGTGTTAAAAAAGAAGAAAATTAAAGAATGGAAACGAAAAATCCAGCAATTTTTCCATTTGTAAAGGGGCATAACTCTAGAACGGTAAAAGTGACGCCATCAAAATTCGAACTTGATCTGTGTTTTGTGATAATTAGCATTGTGCATAAGTTTCATAACATTTGGTTGAGGCAAACTAAAGTTAGAGAACGGAAACGAAAAATTAAGCAATTTTTCAATTTGTAGAGGGGCACAACTCTAGAACGGTAAAAGTGACGCCACCTAAAATTCAAACTTGATCTGTGTTTTGTGGTAATAAGCATTGTGTAGAAGTTTCATAACATTTGGTTGAGGCAAACTAAAGTTAGAGAATGGAAACCAATTTTGGGATGTACGGACGTACAGACGGACAAGACTAAAACTTTAATGCCCCCTCTGCTACGGCCGGGGCATAAAAACATCTAAGTAAGGTAACTTTTGTTATTTTAAATATTGCAGTCAAGAAAGGAGTAGCCTGCAAATTATAACTATTCTGAGTATTTACTTAATTGGTAATCTTTGATGTCAGGCAAACTCTGCCAATGACCAAACACTGGTAATCACTTATTGTCAGTCAAACTCATCTGTCTAACAGCTATCAAGACTAATCTTAAACCACCATATTTTAATGTGCCTGAACCAAGTCAGATACACCATCACTGGTTTTATAATCTTAGTTGTCCTTGAAAGAATATTGTGTTGATGGCAGAAGTGTGCTCATTTCTAAATTCAGTCATAATTTCTATAGAATTAGGGTAATTTAGAATTTAACATATGGTAAAGATACCTATTTATTGTTGAAGACTATATCTTCACTTCCAGATAACTTTTTTTCTGTTGGGTTGCTGTTTCATTGACATTCATCCCTCTCCCTATCTACTTTACTTTTTCATATTTGTCAGTGATGCCACTAAAATAATCAAAGAGCTGACTGTTCTGAGGTGGAAGAAGATGCATAAAAGGTAACTTGAATTACCATAAAAGCAGCCACCACCAACCCAGTCTGCTTCGTCCCATTATTGCTTGCGACGTATTTTTTTCTTCCAAAAATAATAATACTCATAACTCAACCAAAACTCACTATACTTAACATCAAAATCTGCAAATACTGTTGATTCAAATTAAATTTTCTATAACTAAATTCCATACATTCGTCTCAGCATGGTCAACTTGATGCAATGCAATTTCGCCAAGCAATTATAACAGTAATTGATTTGGTTTCACTTGAAAGTTTTCTGTCAAAGGCAGATAGTTAACTTTAAAAAATAAAATGCTCCGCTGGGCGCAGCTTGATACAACCGCAGAGGTCGTACCCTGAACAGTTGGGGCAAGTATGGACACAACATTCAAGCTTGATACAGCACTGAATTTGGATTGTGATTAAATATTTGACACAGCATAGGTTTCTGACACAGAATGAATGTGGTCTAAGAACTTAAAATTTTTTAATTTACCTATTGAAGCCATATCATTATTATTTGCTTTTATATATAAATCAGAAATAACCAATTTAAAATGGAAAATTTTAAAGAAAAAAAAAGAAAAAAAGGAAAAAAAAAATTCCCCCATCCCCAAATTTTTTGAACCCCCTTATGATTTATCACACTTAAACTCAATCCCAGCCTTCCCTTTGTGGTCTGGTATCTTGCAGTACAATTTCAGAGAGATCCATACACTTGAACACCATTTATTGTCTGGAAACTAGAAAAATGCTTGTTTTTTGGCCCCTTTTTGACCCCAAATTCCTAAACGTTTAGGGCAATTACCCCCAAACTCAAACCCAGCTTTCCCTTTGTGATATGGAACCTTGTAGTACAATTTCATAAAGATCCATACACTTACACACAAGTTATTGTCCTGAAACAAGAAATATACTAGTTTTTTGCCCCTTTTTGGCCCCTAATTCCTAAACGTTTTGGGCAATTACCCCCAAACTAAATTGCAGCTTTCCCTTTGTGATATGGAACCTTGTGGTACAATGTCAGAGTGATCCATACACTAACACACAAGTTATGTCTGGAAGTTACAAAAATGCTTATTTGTGGCCCCTTTTTGGCCCCTAATTCCTTAACTGTTGGTACCATAACCCCCAAAATCAATCCCCACCTTCCTTTTGTGGTATTGAACCTTAAGGTAAAATTTCATAGAGATCCATTCACTTAAACTAAAGTTAGAGTGCGAAAACCAATGTGTCTTCGGACGACGACGCCGACAACGCCAACGTCATACCAATATACGACCAATTTTTGCGGTCGTATAAAAACTGGCCACCAAGATTTTAGTCAAGTTTGCTTAAACTAGGGTTTTTCATTATAAACATATATTGAAAAATTCTAAATATATCCAATGCAGATATGTGTCAGGCCAAGGATTGACCGGTCATGTCAGATGATGACCTTGCTATGTTATTGCGATAATTTAGAGTCAAGCGCACACGTGAATCTGCTGGTGTTTTACACATCAAACAATGCTCAGTCAGTTGACAGAATCACGTGTGCGCTTGACTCTTTTAGCATTTCAAACCCATTCATTTAAAGTGCTTGATCCATATATCATATTTGTTTTTCATCTAATATTTTTACACAAAAGTATGAGGGTGGGAATGGCATTTTCCGTCAGGAGTCACACAGCCCTTTTCTGAAATTTTTCATGAAAATAAAACTATTGACAGCAACGAATTACTGGTTCCGTACACGAGCCTCGATAATGTGTGTACCTTAATGACGATTAACGGTAAATAGCTGGACTATTCAGTTGTTAAATCTCGTTTTTTATCACTTCTAAAACTTTGAAACGTATTAAGGCAATAAAGGCAATCATTGGGGACATTCCGACAATGACCGACATGAAAACTACGTACTTTCGAAATGGAATCCGTCAACAGACATTAGTTTGTACATTGATATTTCTGTCAACAGACGGTGCATCGTTTGATGTGTAAAACACCAGCAGGTTCACGTGTGCGCTTGACTCTTTATTATCGCAATAACATACTTAAATATTCTAACTTTCGTTTTAATAAACACATGTTGTCTAAAACTGGAATATGACTTAATTGATTGCATTAAAGATCTGAACGCAGACGGAACAACTAAATCTGTGTATTTTTTCAAGCATCATTGATTTGAAGTCGTACTCTCCACGTATATACTTGACTTTAACTCAAAATGGATTGTATGAATATATGACAATTCTGTTTATCATTATTTTGAAACTTTCAGATGCACAATTAAATTTCCCATTTGTGCACATGCGCAGATACGTAACCAATGTGGTTCAAATTAACCCGAATAATCCAGTTGTTTTATTCCGATAATTCCAATTATTAATCTACCAAAGACAATTATTACAACAATCAGTGAGAATTATTATCATGACCTATTAATGCTCCAAAACAAGCCATCAACTTTTAATTAATTTTTTTTTCATGTGTGTTCATGAATTTCAAGAATTTATACCATATAAATATCTGAATAAGTTTATTAAACTTTAATACTCATAATATTATTATTTTTTAATAATTGCAAGGACGTATAAAACGTCCTTGATAAAAGCAGTCAATATAATACTTCCATGATAAAAGTAAGGAGAAGGAACCCAGAGTGAACGTACTCTATGAGGACGAATTCAGGGCGAACCGACCCGATACCAAATTCATGCATGCGTACTACAAATTCTACTTTAAAGACATCCGGTTACAAGTAAACAAATAACGTTCATGTAAGATGAGATCAAATCTAATAATTTACATAAATAAAAGGGTTGATATTAATACATTAAAACATGAGAAATTATAACACTAACGATAGTGATCGTTTTTCAAGCCTAACTAATAAATTAAATGATGCAGATGCTTAGATCATATGTAATCATCGGTGTCAAGATATGGCACAGAAGTTGTTATGAAATTGTAAAGCACAGAAAGGGATACGGCATACGTCCTGTTAACGGTTCAATGATTTTACAGCCGGCAGTAAAGGCTTTCAGAAGACTTGAAGTCTTCTTCCACCGAAAAAATCAGTAAACAGGGAAATTTTAACACCTTCATCACTGATTTAATATTTTCTGCCAGTTTCTGTAGGCAAGGAAAATTTGCATGCCCTGGTTGTCCAACCTGATTTATTTCATGAACGGAGCTCAGAGAAAAGTTTCAACTTGAAAAACATTGGTGTATCATCTTATCAAATGTGAAAAATTCTATAACTGTAGAATAGTTGTCCCTCACAATATCTTAGATTGAAAATGTTATATTGTACTATAATCATACACTACCTGAGGCATTTGATGGAGAGTTCAAGGTCAGCAGCAAAGGCCACTTGATAAGGCTTCCCATTGTCAAGAGTTTCCAAAGACTGAAAATATAAACAAGTAAAAAAATGATCTCTTAAGAATGATTTAAAGACGATGGTTTTGTCAGAAACATGAATTATACTCATATACATGTAATTGTACAAATTTCTGGTCATCAAAATGATATCAGGTTTGAAGTAAGATATCATGTAGCATAATCCACAGTACATTTTTTATAATCAAAGCCTGAAAGGCTGTTAAAGCAATTGCTCTCCAGTTAATGTTTTTGTGACTTTTATCTTTCATCCACATGTAAAAGAATTAAACTTGACAGGAGTCTATGTAGTGAGAAGTAAGTATGTTTTAACTTTAAATCAATAAAAAACTACACGTTTAACCGGCTTACGGTTGAGGTAAATATATTTTGTGGAAACGTAAAATTCCTGAAAAAATCATGTCATTAAAGATTTGAAGATCGGACCAGCTTCTGAAATTTTCATGAAATCCACGTTAACAGTCGGTTAACCTGTGAACTGGCTCAGTTTTTACACTTTTCATTACTATTGACATAGTCTCATAAATTATATAACACAACTGATTTTCTGCATAGTCAAAAATAGTTATCTATTTTAAACCATCCAACGAAAACACACTGATCGTGCATTATGCAAAACTGGAGACATGATGAAACATTATAAAAGTAAATGAAAAGATTATTTGAGTCTAATTACGACAATCAGAAACACTCTTTCAGTAAATGTTATGATTTTTTAAACTTCAGAATATAAAACACAAAACTTTTTAATTCCTGAGAATTACAGGTAATTATTTTCAATTGCCTAGAGGGTCATTATGACATTTGACACTGTCTCGAGAAGTAACCTTGTTCAGTTGATGACCAGCAGTTCATATTTATATAATTTGTTTACAGAGTGGTGTCTATCAGTACCACCAGCAATTAAGGAAGACCTTAAAAAATAACAACAGGGTATGTAATTTCATGGAAGTATGAAAAACATGGTGTTAACAGAACGCGTAAATTGTGCTACTTTTAAAACAAATAGTGTGATATTAGATTATATTACTATAAAGTGCATAGTGATTTTACGATAATTTTATGAATGAAACCATAATTTTATGAATGAACAAGAGCAAATTGACCTCTTTCAAAAAGAGAAAGAAGAATTAAACAACATAAAACTGTATAAGGGATAATTCAGTCAAATTTTCAATATTAATTCAACAACTGACATGATTGGATATCTTGTTGAAACATCTCAAGAACAAAATCGCAGATTTAAAAATGCACTTTTTCACTCAGACTTTTACGATCTTTGATAGTCAAACAGTTGTCACCTTCAATACAAAAAAAACATCTACAAGAAAATATGTTGAAACTTCACAAACCCACTGTCATTTTTCAACTGTTTTTCATAATGTATGTCACTAGAAAACATACATAGGATTTTTAGAATAACAGACGGGGAATTTGCTTAAAAACTTTGGCTTGATCTGGGTCACAAAAGTGGCTATATCCCACAGCATTAAAGCAATTGCTTTAAAAACAACCATTAGGATAAAATAAGTTTAAAGGTAGCGTGTAAAATCAAACACGAGGAACTAAAATAAGAATTAGAGGTCCATATGATGCTTAATGGTTAGAGGCTTTTACTAGGCCATCTAAAATACATATGGTTAATAACATGGATCTGTACTTTTTTTTATATGTTATAATTTACAATATACAGATGGAAGCATGACTTCTAAGAACCATTCCTGTGGTGCACTGTAAATATCTTGTCATATGAATTCAGATTACCTATTATATTAGCTTTTATCACCCCATTATGTAACAATCAGTTTTAATGTACTTGTGTTCATCAGACAGTTACAGATACATGAATCTATCCTAAGTACTTTTGATTGTGACTGCTAAGTGCTAAATACAATCCATTAAACTATTCAAAACCAAAAACCATTACATTGTGTACAATAAAATTTAAATTTCTGTTGAAATGAATAGCTTTTAGTATTTATTTTGTATTTTATATTATAACAAGTACACAGATACTGTAAAGATTTGCAACGAATCAGAAAATAAATCATTGGCCCTATCATGACTATCATGGCAATAAAAGTCTAACTTTATGATATAAAAATAAGAAAATGTGGTTAATAAGTTCCTTGTCACAATTTTACATAATCCATGATGTTTGATTATACTAGTTATTTTCTATTCCTATTTAGTAATAATGTAAGAAAGGATATGATGTAATAATTCATGACAGAAAATAGCAAAGTAAGAGTGCTTATACTCCACATCTCATTGCAATCAGGCCTGTGGTCAGAATGTCTCTAAAGGGTTTTTGGGGGTCATAAAGTTCTAACTTGAATAGTGAAACTTTGATGATCGTAATCTATACTTTAATAATCTTTATTGGTATTTTTTGCTTTCATTTCTATATCATGTGTACACATTCTCCCCCTATCAATGTGTCTTATTCTAGCACTTATCACAAAACAAGTAAATATGCATTACACTTGACAGTCAAATATATACTAAATTCTATATATTATAAACTTATCTCTACCCTAATTTATAGAATATATTTCATTTGACCTATAAAAAAAAATTACAAAGTTATACAAGTAGTAAAGTGGCAAGACTGTTTCTGTTATCGAGTTGTCTATTGCAAATGTAGTAAAACATTGAAATCAAATCCATATATACTTAAACTACCATTAATGGTCAAAGATTAGTCTTATGGATCTGATTTTCACTTACAGCTAGGTAACCTTGATCTCTCTCCATTAAGTCTGCTAGTCGGTTCATTAGAAGTCCTCTGTGAGCAGCATCCATCCGTCTCCATGGTGATCCCAGTCTAAAGGCCTGTTTTGCTGCATTCACTGCTTTATCTACATCAGCCTGTTATAAAAGACCAAATTATATCATACAATTTACTTTTTATATCTTTTTTCATCCTTTCTTCTTCCATAGAAGGTATTTATCTTTATTTTGAACCTGCACTAGATATCTTTAGCCAGCTCATTCTTTTTTAATTAATGCTTATAATAGAAGTATATGATTTGACAAAAGTCAGTAAATAAATTGTTTCTAAAATGGATCATGCACATGCTGCAAAATAATTTAGAAAAAAGTATGAGTGTCTTTTGTTTTTTTCTTGGTAGATTTTGCATGTAAATTGTGTTGATTTGATGTCAGGCTCTTTCCCATTGACAGCCTCAGTGGTCGCATAGTACCGTGTTCACCTCGAGCGCGGGAGGTTTTGGGCCGGGTCAAACCAAAGACTTTTAAATTGGTATTTGCTGTTTCTCCGCTAAGCACGCGGCATTGTAATTACCTCTTCTCAATAACCTTGACTCGTCAGAACCTGTTATTATCTTGTCTCTTTCAAACCTTTATGATTTTATTCTCTCAATAACATTGACTCCTCAGCAACTTTAATTACCTTGTCTCCTTCAAACCTTTGTGATTACCTTCTCTCAATAATCTAGACTCCTCAGAACCTGTTATTACCTTGTCTCCTTCAGCCACTTCACAGATTACCTCCCCAGTTGATGGATTGATTGATTGAAAGGTTTTCCCACTTACAGAATCTACAAACTCATTGTTGATGAAAATCTGAAAATATATTATTTTGTTTCAAGATTGGATTTCTGTTAAATGCACTTCACCTTCTGTAATGAATAAATGCATATAAAGTACATTGAACATATTAATCTTCAGACAAAAAATGGGCCGTCTTTTACTTTACATGCTTTAAGGGTCCCAATCCATATAGAGCTATACAAAACAACTAACCCTAACTCTTACCCATACCTATCACTAACATAGAACAAACCTTAAACCTACCATAAATAAACCCTAACTCTAAAATACAGGGAATCCTAAAGTAAAAGAAGACCAAAACTCATGAAGTTTTCTTGTGATACTGAGCACTAATTAAAAATTTACTGAGCATGGGTGTGAATATGTTGCTTGTTTAATTAGCTGTTATAAGTTTTACAACAAATCAGAGTGTTATTATCAATTTTTAATTCATAAAATTCCCACATCCGTCCATTATATATGTGCATAAAAATCACTACATTAGCACGCATTGTTATATGAGTAAATAAAAAAAAAATCATGATGAATATAGTTTTATAAACATATTTTTAACATGATAGAATAACTTGTTGTATCACAACTCATACGAAAAGTTATTTACATGTTCATGCGTCTTAAATATCTAACAGTGTCAACATATATTTGTTCCGCCTAACAGAAGTTCCCCTGGAAACTTTGTTATAAACAATGTCATAATATCTGTTCCTGTTGGAACAAATATTCTATACCCTTTATTCCGTAAGGAACAAATACTGTAATATTTGTTCCAATGGAAACAATATTACAGAATATTTCTTCCACTTGGAACTTATTTTATGAAGGAACATCTATTCTGTAACAACAGTATAACCAAGGCCAGTACTCTGCTCGTTCCTGACCTGGTTACTCATCTTGCTAGGTTGGGGGAACTAGCTGGTATCTATTATATGAATACATGTTAACGTAACACAGATTCAAGTTCTATATATAAATGTTTATTAAATCAGCATTCAGTATTCAGCAATCACAATAGCATATAAGTTCATGAGACGTAATATAATAACATGTCTAATATCAATCCAATAACTGTCTTAAACAACTGTCTAAATCAAAGTCTAAAACACAAGTGTAAAACAAAACTGTCCCAAACTACATGGTCAACTAATATATATTATTTTTCATTATTCAATTTACATAACATTAATACTCAATATATTTACTTTGTCTAGGTTAGTCTATGGAAAGGTATATACTATGAAATTTAGAGCGAGGGGCTTGCCCCGAGCTCTTAATTTCATAGTATATACCTTTCCATAGACTATCCAATTTAGCACATATTTACAACTCAAGTAATCTTTTAATTGGTCTATTGATAGTTTATTTTGGCTGACTACTTGTATCACATGTGTTTGTAAAACGGAGCTCATTAACGAAGTTTTGTAAATCTACTCACTAGTATCATTGTAAAATATGTGATTTCAAAAGGCCCTTCACTCCAGAATGAAAAGATGGTAGCTGCCGGTGTAAGTATGTATACTGATATAAAGCGGTGTTTTACTATACATGTTCTTCTTACATGGTAAGATGACCAAATAAATTGACCAAAAGCAGGCAATAATTAAATTGCAGTGGAAGCTTTACATGTTTTGAAAACATTTTTTAATTTCACAGTAAAACTAAAGCTATAATAAATTTGAAACATATAGATAGTTTGTCCCCATAGATATAGTCTAGCAGATAGGCATTAAAAAGCAACTACCAATAGATCAGAGATTATAGGTTTTGTGTTTTTTGTTGGTTTTTTTTTATTATTTCAAAGTAAAAACTAAAAGATTTACCAGAATATGTTTATATATATATATATATATATATATATATATATAGGTGGCACATTATCTTCAGACATAATCACAGTTTTTCAATTCATGACATCGTCCTAAACATGTATGAAATATTTGCCACTGGACAATAAGCAACCAATAATCAATAAATCAATCAATTCATGACGAAATAGATCACCTTCCTTAAGAAAGTTTAAAAAATTATCACCAAGTTGCTTTAATTTTCCTTCACAAGGTTTCATAGTACACACTTTTCTGTGTACAAAGTAATTGCATGGATGATACATTATCATAATTTTATGATATCGTTGTACTCTAATCAAGGTATAAAGAACCATATGTATTACCCTTTATTTAAATGATAAAATTTGCAATTGTCAATAAAAACATTTTTTAGATCCAAAGATTTTAATAGCAGGATATTTAAAAATCAACGTGAAAACTAATTACAAACTATTTAATTTAATTTGGAACACAGCATTTTATTTCAAAATAGCCAGTGGCAATTTTTGTTTTAAATATCTTGATTACGATACAATGAAATCTTACCCTTGTGGTCATTCATGCGTAGTTACTTAGTACACAGGAAAAGTATGTACTATGAAAATTAGAAGGCAAATATAAGCAATTTGATTGGACGAGAAGTTGTAAGTATGTGCTAAACATAATAATGCTAGTTTATCTATTTTCCCAAATATCAAGTCTTTGTGACATAACCTAAATTATCTTAAAAAGTAAGAAATCCCTTTTGTATATATAACGCTTCTCTAATCCTTAATTCTCTATTGTCATTTAACCCTCAGGGGATTACATAATAATTTGCTTTACACTTATCTAAAATTGTGAAGATTTATATTAATTATTTATCAAGTAAATTATTTCTTAAGCTAGTGCTAAATATCTTTAACTAATAATGAATTATAAGAATTATTTGAATTCCACATTTTAACATTCTTGCATCTAAAATATACTGGTTATACCAGTACTACACTTACTGGATACAATTAATCAAATATAAAAATATTAAATATTCTACCTGTGTTACATGTAAAATTAATATGTGCAAATGCAATAAAACTTTGCGCTCTATTTAAAAAAAAAATGAATCCCCTAATGAAAGTAATGTAGTGCACCCATGCATTGACATAGTTACAAAATAAGTAAACACAACATAAGGTTCAGGAACACACTGTTATCTTCTTTTTAATTACCTTGTCTACAGTAATAGTCCCTAGTGTGTATATATAACTTGTATTCCAAATTTATTTCTTCATATACTGTGGATTCATTATTATTTGTGGAATACCAATTTTCATTGATTTCGTGTGTAAAGGTAAACCACAAATTTAAATGTTCAACGAGGTACCCATAGTATAAAGGCTTGTATGCCGACTTTTGAAAAACATTGAATTCAAATATTCACGAATATACAACATTTTCTCAATCCACGAAAAATAAATGAAGCCACAGTATTATGCATAAAATAGTAAGTAGGTCAGGATGAAATTACATGTCAATAAATTTGGGTCATGAATTTTAAGGGAAGGTAGTGATTTGGTCCATTGAAAAAGGTCAAAACTATTATGTCTGACACTATCAAACTGAATTAAATTAAGACCCCCTTAACATAAAATTGTGCATATTTTGAGCTAAAGCTAGTACACTCTTCTATAATTTTGATATTTGTCCAAAAATTAGTACATTACAGGGTAAAAATCTAATTAAGAAAACGCAGCTGGGCTTTCAAAAATTAGCCTTTATTCAGTTTATTGTTCTAAAGAAATTCATCACAAAATAATTGTGTCTCGAGCCATAACCTATTAACATGATTAACCAACATTTTATGCTTGACTGGCAAGCATGATTTTTCACTTTTTACTGGTCAATCATCATTCACTATTTGTACTTAAGATTATTTCATTGTCACCTATATCTTTCTATTAAAAATAAATGACCTTACTGTTTAATTATTCAATAGATCACAAATCTAAACAAATTTTAGATATATTGTATATATTTTTTTTTAAATAAACCAAGTACTTCACAATTAAATGACTGTGGTGGTTTAAACTATCTGATAAAGATTATTTAAAGAAACAGTGTATTCTTTTCCAAAACAATGAGTCCTAACTTCTCAAATTGTAAAAAAATTGCTTAATCTATACCATGTCTACAGCAGAAAAGTCTACTTCAGATTCTTTTTTTTAAATTTGTTTTTGTATTTTTTATTTGATGAAAGGAGATGATAAGTTCAAGTATACAGCAATGAGATAGCAACCAAAAACAATACGACAAAAAAGACCCCTGGTCAACATATGTCATGCTCTGAATTGTCCAGATTCCTAACAAATTGTAAATAAATCTGACATTACAAAAAATCTGCAAACAACACCAAATTCATAATACATGTAGAACAATAACAATATTTCATAAACAGAGACAACTATACTGTTGAAACTTCTACTGCATCAGAAAATCTGTTGTCCGCTAGCTCCATCAAAACTCAAATTCAGTACAAAAAAAACAGCATCTTTGACAAAAATTATATTAAGTTATGCTTAAGGTAATCATCAGCCTTTCCAGTAGAAAGTAGGCTATGGGTACAAACATGAAAAAGAATAGGGACACAACAAAAGAAAGCACCCTTCATGTTATTGTTTATCATCAAAACAATTTAGATCACCCACAATCTACTTTATTAATCATCTTGATATGTTACAAAATTGAATTAAGCATTCAAAAAGTTTAAAACACCATATGACACCTACTATTGGCAATGCAACTGCAAAAGATAACACAGACCAACATCTGCTGTACACAAATGGAAAAATCCTTTGTATTACAATGGGAATCAGAACAGCAGACAAAAATCTGCTGTACACAAATGGAAAAATCCTTTGTATTACAATGGGAATCAGAACAGCAGACAAAAATCTGCTGTACACAAATGGAAAAATCCTTTGTATTACAATGGGAATCAGAACAGCAGACAAAAATCTTCTGTACACAAATGGAAAAATCCTTTGTATTACAATGGGAATCAGAACAGCAGACAAAAATCTACTGTACACAAATGGAAAAATCCTTTGTATTACAATGGGAATCAGAACAGCAGACAAAAATCTGCTGTACACAAATGGAAAAATCCTTTGTATTACAATGGGAATCAGAACAGCAGACAAAAATCTGCTGTTCACAAATGGAAAAATCCTTTGTATTACAATGGGAATCAGAACAGCAGACAACAAGAATGTGTCCATAGTACACGGATGCCCCACTCCCACTATCATTTTCTATGTTCAGGGGACCGTGAAATTGGGGTCAAAACTCTCATTTGGCATTAAAAATAGAAAGATCATATCATAGGGAACATGTGTACTAAGTTTCAAGTTGATTGGACTTCAACTTCATCAAAAACTAACTTGACAAAAAACTTTAACCTGAAGCGGGACAGGCGGACGAACGGAATGACAGACGAATGGACAGACATACGGACAAACAAACGGACGCACAGACCGAAAAACATAATGCCCCTCTACTATCGTAGGTGGGGCATAAAAAATCTCTTGTACACAATATCAAATCAATTGTTTTGATTGGCAATAGGGAGCGCAGGTCCTATTGCATCTGAAGCAATGAAAGTGGGTTACTAATAACTATTGGGTAATAGGTTCACAGTGTTTAAGCTTCGTTCTCCCATACTATCCTGAGACCTCAATAAATAGTGTGTATCAATGACTGATGATATAGGATATATTCAAAAGTTCTGCTGACATCTGCAAAGTTTATCATGCCATTCTTTGATTTTCTATTCTAACCTCTCACCTTAAAATCAAATGTTTGTGCTCTTATTTATATATATGTATTAGAGACACAAGCTCCATAAATATGTGCTACTGATGGACTCACAGATGGACAAAAATTAGTGAATACACCTTTTCTACAAAACAAATTTTATGCACTGGGATAAAAAATAAGAAAAAAAATGCATCAATCTATTAAGGTATTAAAATCCAGAAAAGTGCTTCTCATGCACTGAATCTATAAAGTGTTAATATCAATCTTAATAAAACAGTAAGGATGAATAGATGGTATACTTTTCCAAAATTTAAATTTTCAAAAACTACTAATATAATAAGCTTTTGTTAACATGAGATACTATTTAAAGTTGTAATTATAAACAAAGCAAATAATATTGACTTGGAACAAAACAAACATAGTTTCTTTGTCACAGTGTATTTTGGTAAAAAAAAAACTTCAAAAGCAGATAGAATGTTCTTGGCCTTGTTCTTCATATTCAAACATTGGAAAAGGTTATAACAATAAATGAAATAAAGTAGGAGGAGACAAAAGCAAAGAAATCAATATTGTTAACAATACTACATGTTTGCTTATAAATACATCACTTTGTCATACAGTTAAAATCCCACAACATTATTTTATCTAAAAAAAATAGCTAAGCAATCTAAATCCCAAGTACCATACACAATAAAATTTACTTTTTTATCCAGAAGCAGATCCAGAACTTTAGAAGAGAGGGGATGGGGGGATCAATACAACATTAGGAGTGGGACTTGTAAAAAGTCATATGCATTAACCTTACATGTATATGTAGCTCAATACAGTGGGCCCTTTAAAATTAAAAATAAGGAGTTCTGTGTTATAATTGCCAATTAGACAACTATCCACAAGAGTTCTAATGATGTGGATGTAAGCAACTAAAGGTCACTGAATGGCCTTAAACAATGAGCACAAAAATGGATAAGGGATGGTGAGCTGTAAAAGGTTCGACATGAAAAAATGTGAGGCAATTCAAATGTGAAAACCAACAGATTTATTACATAATAATAAAAGAAAAACAAATATGACATAATATCTAACTAACTGACTTACAACACACTTGTTAATATTTGTTTTTTTCTTCAATTATTTACAATAATATTCATAAAAAATAAAGCAAATAATTGACTACAACTAAATTGATAAAGATGACCTTGGACTATTATACTTCAATATATTATGTCCCAGAGATGACTGACAATATAAATGCAATTTGTTCCTTGCAAAATTTGTTAAAGAAAAGAAAGTAAAGAAAAACATATGTACTACTCATAATGTACAACGGAAGGCAAGGACTGGTCTTGTTTATAGATTAGTTTACTCATTAGTTGTTAAACAGCTGTTTGTTGCTGGTCCATCAATTCTATTTAACAGTTATGTTGTTTAAATTTTATGATAATTGGTTAAACCAAATTTGAGTTATCATACAAACAGTTGACATATTACAAAAAGACTAAAGACAAAAACTACTGATATAAGGTTTAAAGCCAATTACAACTAATAAATCATGCTTCCAAGTCTATTAAAAATATCAATCAGAACAGGTGGTGTAAAAATGTAATAAAACAGTCTAGGAAAACCATGACATTGTGCAATGCCAATTGCTTGATTACTCAAATAAAACTTAACAAAATTAATAAATGCATTTTTTTTAATACTTTTACTGTCTTACTTTGAAGGAAATTATGACCCCCCTTTTCCTCCCCTAAAAAAATCATGATAAAAGATGAATTGTGTAGAGTTTTAAAATACATTTTTTAACAATTAAATTGCATTTACACAAAAAAAAAAATGAGAGTGGGAATAGCTTTCAATGCTTAGAGACATCACACTCTGATATATTAATTCGCTAATAATTAAGTTAAATATAAAATAAGAAGTCAGACTTTGACCGGACTGACAATATTTGCGGTGTCAACCTTTCCATGTTTTACGTTATTTATTTTAAAGAATTCCAAGTAATCACTGGTATCCAGTTTATAATCATGATTAATATAAATTCGTTTAAATTGCGTTCTAAAAAAAAAGTTTTATCTATCTTCCGCAAAAAATTGCAGCACAGCATATTTTTTACTTACCCCTGCATACTTAATGTCGGGCTTCGTTATCGGATCTGGAACACTTGACATACATGCTGACTGATACTTAAGTGCACAGTTCACCAACCGACGTGCAAATCTTGTTCGTAAAAGTACTGCCATGTCGTTTAAATCCTGCAAAGCAAAAAACAGAACAACACGACCTTTTGGGGTCAAGGTAATATTAAATGTTTCAAAGCACTCAAGTGCTATAAAGTTATGGGTGTTTCCTCCGACGTCCGCGTTAATTCAAACCGAAAAAATGTCGTCGGAACGTGTGAAAGTGGAATTACACATGTTTATTGTATGTGGATGCAATGAGAATGATTGTTTTCACGTTAAATTAATTTGTTAACATGTAAGTACCAGTCTTGTATTACTACTTCAGTTTAAATGTAACAAAAATATTGCATATTTTTTTCAGAAATTAAACCAGGAAGGTGGAAGGATCTCATGTTTACTAGATAAGATAAGATAAGATAAGATAAGATAAGATAATTTTATTGGTTCAAAATCCAAAATTATAGGATTGTTGCCAAGACAATAAACATTGACTATACATAAACACACAAACATAATCTGACCACATTTATAAACATTATATATATAACTGTGTATCCCCTCCATTATTAAAAGAAAATATTGTTACAATAATAAATGAATGTATATAATCTCTGCTGAGGAGGTGGTACCACAAAGTTATTAAGTACTCAATAAAGCATTTCTAGAATTATACATGGTGCTTATGAATTTTACAATAATTTTAATTATATCAGTCTCGGCACCACAGGTATATAAAAATTTAAAGCTTGCTTCATTAGTCATATTTAAAAAGGAGAATTAGAAGTGGTGCGGTCGGATGAAAACAGCAAACAGAAAGTAGAAAAATGAAGTTTTGACTTCGAGGTTGATTAACATTTTATTTGCCCTTTTTTGCATGAAATCATAGTATAACATTACTAAATGCATGATATGTGCATGAAATTTTTTTCTATGTAGCATTTTTAAATACAAATTTTTGAAGATCAGCTGTTTTGCATGTAAGCCTATGGAGCTGTCAATTACAAGACTGCAATCTGTACCACATCACGTTTTATTTATATGTTATATAACAACAAAAGATATTAATAGGCGGGAAGGTATAAAAATTGGGAAAACACGGAAGGGTAAAATTGATATTTTATAAGTGATTTCTCTGGAACTACTTAAGATAATTTAACATTTGAAACGGATTTTGAAAGCTTATATGATATTCCATAAGTTAAAATAAAAAAAAAATAAGTTTTTGATAATCATTATTACCAAAAAGTTGACTGGAAGCCTTGTTAGGCGTGACGCTGGTAATCCAATTTCGAACATTTAAACTTAAATTCACGAAAAAACATATAACCCGGTCAAAATCTTAAAAACGGTTTCTATAGACAATTTAATAACAAATAATATGCTATAAAAATAATTAGCAATACATTAGATGAAAAGGGCAAAATCTGGACCGGAAACCTCTCTTGTATATAAATGAAGAAGTCAAAATTTCAACTTTGAACTAAAATTCACAAAAAAGTATAAAGCCCGGTCAAAATCTTGAACATGATTTTTAAAGACAATTTAATAACAAATTAAATGGTATAAAAATAGGATTACATTAAGTTAAAAGGGCAAAATCTTGACCGGCAGCCTCTCTTGTGTCCTTATCGCTCGGAGCCCTTTAATGGAAAATTACTATTTGTTCTTCTAATTGTCTAACAACTTTAGCTTATGTTTATTCTTAGCTGCCGGTATATATGCGCCGAATCTATTAATTAAATTTACTTACTTACATCAAATTAAAAATTACTGAGTGGTTCAGTGTTTATGGTTTTTTTTCAGCTCCAGCACACAGGTACTTTGAGACAAGACAATGTTTTTGTTTTAATTAAAACTGAGAACACGAAAAATAGCAGATTTTGGAAAAAAAAGCGAGAGGACAAACAAAATTGCTCTGTTCCCAAGTACCTGTGCTTAAGCATACCAGGGACATAATATATTGCCAGTATACTATTCCCAGAGCATACATGCTTTAGTGCGTAACTTAATAACACTTATGTTTTTTCCCCACAATTTCCAGACTGATTTTTGTTTCGATTTTTTATATCAATTTTTTAACGAAACGTTCATTCAATCCTCTTTTTTTATTTGTTTGTTGCTGCTTTTTTTTTCCTTTTTCTTCGAGACTTTAAATTCTTTTATCAAAACTACACATACAGTACAAATGTCAGTATCATTACTTTTCAAAATGAAACATTTTTTTTTCTTGTTCGTCCATATTAACAAACGATGGAACTATATCTCTTAAAGTACAAAAAAGTATACTTCTATTTAATTTCAACGCTTTACATTTAATGAGGAAATCACGGGAGTTCATCTTCAATTCCATCTCTGCAAAGTGGTGTTAAGGCGTTCAAGTATATCTGCCAACTTCTATTAGTAAATTACTATTACTAATTCTAATCTTTACCATTTTAGAAATAACACTTTCTAGAAGATATTTTTCTATTTCAAAATTAATTTTAACTTTGCGATACGTTCTTAGTTTATTACTATGACTATCATTATCAGAGTCACAAAGAGAGCTTCTTTCCAGGATCTTGTGATTTCCTCCTCTAACTTCTTTTGAATTAAAAAAAATAATTTTTGTCTTTGACATGGTATTTTGTTTTTCCCCAAACATGCCGAAAACCAAACTTACCTAATGACACTTTTATTTTACTACAAAAACCATTAGACAGGATAACCGCCTCGGTGGTCTCATGGTAGCGTGTTCGCCTCGAGTGCGGGAGGTCGTGGGTTCGAACCCCGGCCGGGTCAAACCAAAGATTTTAAAATTGGTATTTGCTGCTTCTCCGCTAAGCACGCGGCATTAAGGAGTAAGAGCAAAGACTGGTCGGCTCGGAGTCAGAATAATGTGTCCGGGTAAGGTGACATGTCTTCCTGCGGACTGTTACCTTGTGAACTAGCACGTTAAAAATCCGGCTCAGCGTGTCGGTCTAGTACAAAGCCGGGTAAATATTCATATTACATTAACATGTTCTCGTCCTGAAAATATGCATATTAATTTGCCGCTGGACGTTAGGCAGCCATCCATCATCATTAGACAGGATAAAGTTTTCACTGTATGCTTAATTTTTTACCATACTCTCACTAATTAATTGTATTTTTAAGGACTGACAATTTAGCAAATTTTGATTTGAATCTTATTTGTAATAAAGTAAGTACAGTTTGACTAGATGGTAGTATTTTGTTTCACTCAACTAACAGTAGTCCAAACCCCACTGATATATAATGAAATAGGTTGAACTCAAGAATAAAAAAGCTTTAAATGTGGTTGAAAATTCATCTTTTCAGAAAATAATAATTTCTGATACAAAATATAGCTTTTATTGCTAGACTTAGATAGCTGATCAATTGCGGAAGTAAAAGATCCAGATGGTTTTAACACTTATATTCATCTTGTAGTTTATAATTGTAGTAGAATTCGTGTTTTTAGATTATTTTCCCTATTCTATTTAATATTATAATCTTGGTTTTGGAGTAACAGATAGATTCCATTAATCACAAAATATATTTAAATTTATCTAAAGCATTTTGAAGGCATCATGCAGATTCTGGTATAACTATTAAATCGTCTGAATAAAGAAGACAAGACACTTGATTATCATCTAGCCATGCTCGATCACATATGTTGTCAAACATTTCAATCAGTTCATTAATATACAATGAGAATAATGTAGGGCTTCATATACAACCCTGTTTTAATCATACATTTAAGGAACATTTTGTGTTTGTCCCTGTTTTAATCTTACTGAGAAAGAGACATCTTTGTACTTATCATTTACAATACAAAAAAACTGTTGACACAGAGCTATGTCTCGCCTGTCGGCAGAAAATTTGAAAAAAGACAATCTGATGGACAGCAACATTGCTAATTAATTCAAAATCGTTGGACCATGACCAAGGGAGTAGGGCCTCGAATTACTCGTCAAACTGATATGTACTGATAGTAATGCAACTTTATAGAAAATAGCATTGATCTTTCACAAATAGTTCCTAACGAACTGACGTAGGCAAAACACTTAACATTGAAAATTGCTAATTAATTCAAAGTCACTGGACCATGACCTAGGGGGTAGGACCTCGAAATAGTCGTCAAACTGATATGACCTGATAATAATGCAACTTAATACAAAATATCATTGATCTTTTACAAGTAGATCCTATCAAACTAAATAAAGCAGAAAACTTAACATTGAAAATTGATGGCTATTTTAAAGTCACTGGACCATTACCTAGAGAGTAGGGCCTCGTCAAACTGAAATGTACTGATTGTAATGCAACTTTATACAACTTATCATTGATCTATCGCAAGAAGTTCCTTTCAAACTAACTTAAACATAAAACTTAACAATGAAAATTGCTTATAAATTAAAAGTTGCTGGACCATCACCTAGGGGGTGTGGCCTCGAAATAGTCGTCAAACTGATATGTACTGATAGTAATGCAACTTTATAGAAAATGCCATTGATCTTTCACAAGTAGTTCCTATCAAACTAACTTAAGCAGGAAACTTAACAATTGTTGACGCATTCGCCGCCGTCGCCGCTGGAAAAGCAATACTTTTGTCTCGCCCTTTTATATTATATTTTAGTAACTGATGAGAAAGGCCATCTCTATTGGTTGCGTCAAAGTTGAAACGTTTTTCTTATATCTACAAAACAAGTGTTGAGAGGTTTAGATTTTTAAAGGTCTTGTAAATTAGAGTTTTAATGTTAAAATGTGATTACTAAGGCTCTTTGGTCGGGTTGTTGTCTCTTTGACACATTATCCGTTTCCATTCTCTATTCCATTGGTCTGCCATTTTTCCTAAACTTATTTGTTACTAGCTATTATTTCAAAGAAAATTCTCTAATCTGGAAGATAATATTTTCAATTTTTTTACCTAAACAAATAGAAAGATCTATACCCCTGTAGTTGGAAGGACAAGTATAACACCATCCTTTATGATAGTTTCTCTCCATATAGAAGGAACGATGCCCCTTTTCAATAGCAAATTAAAGACTAACACATACGCATTAACTAATTTACCACATGACACTCTAATCATTTCGTTCTTTATACTTTCACAACCAGCAGATTTTTTTAACTTTAAGTTT